CACTCGTCCTTCCATCCCGTCCACGCTCGTCTCCTCGCCCCCTCGCCTCGTCTCGCCTCTCTTTGTCTGGTCTCTCTCCCTGTCCTCTGCTTCCACACGACCCTCTCTGCCCAGGCCTCCAGCTGAGCTTGCATCAAGCTTCTGACCTGGCGGTGAGGGGCGGCCTTTCCGTCGTCATTGCGCTCCTTTGCCCATCCCTGCCAAGCCTCGAAGTGCGCCCTCCTCTCCCGCCGCCCCCGACGATCTCCCAGCTGCCGCCCCAGGCGCATCTCCTCTGCCTTGGCCCTCCTCCTCAGCCTCCAGGCCCTTATGTACCCTCCCAGCCTCCGCCCTCCCAAGACCTCTCGTAGCCTCTCCCCCCTCTTGCTTCTCTCTTCCCTGTCTGCCAGCCCCGCTGCCAGCCCTTCCCACCCTCCTCGCATCAGCCCTAGCGCCTGGCGTGCCCCCCTCCTCTCAGCCTGCCGTCTCCTCTCCCGGCTGGCGGCCCATGCCCCCTTCCAGTCCCTGAACGCTTCCTCCTGCCGCCCTTCTATCTCCGCCTCTCCCTCCGCCTCTCGCGCTCGCAGCAGGCCCTCCACCGCCCTCCCCCGTGCTCGCCCGGCCTCTCCGACTGCCGCCCACGCCTCAAGCGCCTTGCCCAGCCTCTGCGTCCTCCCCCGCGCCTCAGCCCTCGCCCTCGCCCTCGCCCTTCTCCGCCCTTGCATGCTCCCTTCCTGCCATGCCCTCACCAGCCGCCTTGCTTCTGCCTCCTCCTGGCAGCGTGCAAGGCTCGCAAGGATCCTCCTCCCCTCTGCCTTGGTCGCGCACTCGTCCTTCCATCCCGGCCACGCTCGTCTCCTCGCCCCCTCGCCTCGTCTCGCCTCTCTTTGTCTGGTCTCTCTCCCTGTCCTCTGCTTCCACACGACCCTCTCTGCCCAGGCTGCCAGCGGCCGGGCTGCAAGCGACAAGTACAGCCGAGGCCGAATGCCTTTGCTCCAGCGCCTGGCTCGATTCGACTCCTCCTGCCAAGCCTCGAAGTGCGCCCTCCTCTCCCGCCGCCCCCGACGATCTCCCAGCTGCCGCCCCAAGCGCATCTCCTCTGCCTTGGCCCTCCTCCTCAGCCTCCAGGCCCTTATGTACCCTCCCAGCCTCCGCCCTCCCAAGACCTCTCGTAGCCTCTCCCCCCTCTTGCTTCTCTCTTCCCTGTCTGCCAGCCCCGCTGCCAGCCCTTCCCACCCTCCTCGCATCAGCCCTAGCGCCTGGCGTGCCCCCCTCCTCTCAGCCTGCCGTCTCCTCTCCCGGCTCGCGGCCCATGCCCCCTTCCAGTGTTCCAATGACATGTGTTTCAATTCGATTTCGTTTCGTTTCTGTTTTTCGTACATTCTTTTGATTTTCCGTATTTCATGTTTTGATTGTAGTTGTATGGAGGTCCATTGTTTCCATGCTGCTTCTGCATGATGTTTGTCGTTCTTGACTTGGATTCGTGTTTGAATTCTTGCTACTTGTTTTGCGATGTGGGTTGTTTCTTTCCACATCGAGAAGACTGTAGCTGATGTTGTCGCACTGGTCACGCTAATGATTGTTGTCTTGTTTTTGACTCGTTCCACCAGCTTCAAAAGGAACGCGAGGTAGAGTTGCTGTCTTCGCCTTGTCTTCGTCAAGACTCTCCAGCTCTCCGACCTCTCGTTTTTCATCTTCTCCTCTATTGCCATCCATCGCATCCGAAGTAGCAGCAGCCCCGCATTGAGGCATGTCAAGTGCCACCCTTGAAGCATCCGCCTGCTCAATCGCTGAGCTCGACCGGCTTGTCTCAGGCTCACAGTCCCTGCCATCCTCTTGGTCACAAGTGTCACTCGCTGCCATCGCTTGGCTGCTGTCAGCAACATCAACCGTCTCCGCGTCTCCTCAAGTCGCCCATCTCTCTGGGAAGAAGCAGCAGCACTGATCACCAGCAGTTCACCTGTCGACGACCATCTCCTGCTCCACATCCGCAGCCTCGCTTGTAGCCTCCTGCCATCGGCGTCTGCCGTATGACTCGACCACCGAAGGAAGCATCTCAGAACTCTCCGCTCTTCCCTCCTCCGCCACCATCCTTCCATTCTTCTCCTTCCCACCCGTCGCCGTCTAGAATGAGCACTCCACATAGCGACGGCTCTCTTGGCCAGACTTTTTCGTCGCTTCAGGGCCTGCAGCATGAGCGTCTTGCGCGACCTCAGAGACGAGAACGAGTGAGACCAGGCGGTCAGGACAGACTTGGAGAGGCGAAGCCTTCGAGCGACGTCAAACCTCCTGGTGAGAACCTTGTGCTCCTTTCTCGCCAGACAACATGCGTGCAAGGCATGAAACGACGTCTTGTACCTCCTGTTTCTCGAGTTGACTTGCAAGCGAGCAGCAGCCTGATGGGTATCCGCTAGGAGCCTCCATTCCTCCACCACCTTCGTCATTCTCTGCCTGCTTGTTCGCCTCCACACCTGCTGCATCACGAGCAGCAAGAAGGCTACGGATGCACTACGACTGCATGCCAGCGATCGCCAAGCAAAGAAGGAGCTGACGAGTCGCGTTCGCTCCCAGCGCGTAGAGATCCTCACTTGCCTGACCGTGAGTGACGAGTGAGCTGCCCCGCGCTTCTTCCACCTCTCCATCGCAGCTCTGCTCCTCTCCCTCTTCCTTCGATCGTAAGATCGAGCAACAAGTCGAGCTAGCACTCCTGCTTGACGAGCGCGTAGCATCAAGGCATGAAGCACTCGTCGCATCTCAATCATCAGCCGCATGGCGTGGACGTAGGTGAGAGACGCCTGTCTCGCTAGAGCAGGATCTTTGTACCAAGCAGGAGGAGCTCCAAACATCAAACCCCCTAGGAGCAATGCAGCGAATGTCTCAGACTTGCGCGGCAAATCTGCCCAACAGAAAGGTGGGACAGCAGTAGCGCGACAAGCGAGAAAGACTTGAAGACGGAGAAAGCTGGAGGGGGAGGAGAGCGAAGGACTTGCTGGTAGACTTGAAGCTTCCACAAGAGCATGACAGTGTTCAAGCGATGCCTCGCCTGCTTCCGCTTTGCCTCCTCCACAGCACGATCTGTCAAAATCTTTTCGGACATCAGATGGCAAATGCGATGAAGCAACCATCGACGAAACCAAAACAACAAGCAAGTGAGGCCAAGGCTCTTGGACAGTCGCGCAGACAACTGGGACCTTCGATGAACTTGTTTCCAGTCTCTTAGGGTTTGGTCGCAGAGGACGAGGCAGTGTCGCTGAGCGATGCGTCTTTCAAGTATCTTGAGCCGTCGTGAGCAGCACGAGTAGCGCCAACAAGAGAAGCATCTCCTCTTCTGCAACGAGTCTCTGATCCTCTCCTCCTCCCGTTCCTTAACTCGCTTCTTCCAACCTCTCATCGTCTTTGCTTGCAGGGCGACATGGCTTGCTAGGCTGCTCTGCCGATGCTTCTTCTCGCAGAATCGATTCCACGCGCACCAAGCGTGAGCAAGAGACAAACGCGACAGACGCTCGCAGAGCCTCTGCGTGGCCTCTCGTCGGCTCTGACGGAGCTTGACAGAGATTATCTTGTCCTTCCACTGAAACATCGCCCTGCTGGCGTACAGCGAGGGCAAGACTAGCTCAGCTTTGTGGAGAGCTGACACCACGGGGTAGCGATGAGCTCCGACGTACCCGTTGAAAGCTTCTGCTTCCACCATCTTGATGAGGTTGTGCTGAATATGCAAGGACGTCTGAGGAGGAGGAAGAACGCGATGCTGCAAGCTCAGAGTGCGGAAGTTCTGGAGGAGAAGCCACTGCGAGCTGAGAAGGTTTCGGATGGATGAATGCTCTGCAATAGCTCGCCTTAGACGCTGGAGCGACTGATCTGCCTTGTGAAGCACCAGGAGCGTTAGCCTGCCGTCCTTGCTCAGGATCGCTTCCCTCCATGACCTCCAAGTCTCCTTAGTCCTCGCGTATCGGCGTGCTGAGTGAAAGATCCCCAAGTTCACCAGCAGCACCCACCACCGCCAGACCCGCTTGAGCCCTTGAGCTCCCAGTCTCGTGCCTTCCCTCTTGTAACATGATCCTTCACTGACTCCTCGATGCTCCTGGATGGCTGAGCACCATGCGGCAAGCACAGCATATGCAGTCTTACGCGAGGCAAACCACTTGAGACGACTTATCTCTGTCTCGATGAGGACCGTTGAATCCCATCGCTGCTGCCCCTGCACAAGGAAAGACATGACGAAGGCCCGGTCTAGACTAAGTTTTCAAGCCGTGAATGCTTCAAGTCCGCAGCAGCATAAGACAAAGTTCTTGCTCCCTACCTCTCGTTCCCGCCCCCCCTGCCCGCAGGCTCCACTATCATTGTCCGAGTCTCCCACGCGCTTGTCCCACAAGCGCGTGGGAGACGGGGTGAGGTGTCTCTCCCATGTCTCTCCCACGCGCCGCTCTCAGGCTGGGCCCATGCTCGGCGCTCAGTCAGGCTTCCAGTCCCATCAAGCTGTGCCAAACTCTGTCATCTTCCGAACATCACAAAAAAAAAAAAAAATTCGCCGTGTGATGCGCGGGGATGCGGTCCCGAGGCTCCCGGAGTCCGGGGCCGGGGAATCCGACGGACTCGATCGGCCCGGTGACCGCTCGGACCGTCGGGCGCCCGGGCCCGGGGCCCGCGGCGGCCGGGACTGGCGGGCTCTCCCGAATGCCGCGGCTACTGCTAGGGCCTGATTGCCAAGTTGTCCGGGTTTATCATGGGTCCGATCGGACTGAGGCTTTCGCCGGGTCACGGCCCGGGCCACGGCCCGGCCCGTTGTCGGACTATTCAATTGCCGGGCGGGCTGAGTCCGTCACTATGTCACCGTAGGCTCGATGGCGTATCACGGTTCAACGGTCAAGGGCAGTTGGTTTCAAGTAAAGCCAGTGACTTGTTGAACCGGCCGCCGGCCGCACAGACTCACCGTCCCGTGCTGTCAGTGACTCTTTGAATAAGTTTGGGGGACAGCAGCCTAACGGTTCACGGTTCAACGGTTGGCAGGATGGGGCCGGGCTTCAACGGCGACTAGGCCCTCGGAGTTGGCAAAGGTAAGTTAACTTTAAGTAAACTTGAACTTCGGAACTGGTTTAGGGTTTAGGGTTCTGAAACTACGTAAGTGGCCCGGCGGCGTCGGCCGGCCGGCCGGCCGGCCCGGGCACTGACGGGCACCCGACTGAGTGTCCCAGTCCGGGTTTAGTCGGCCGGGAAAGTTTCTTTAGGTCGCCGCTGGGCTGCTCCGACTGTCCCAAGGCAACTCACCCCTTCGTCCTTCTCGAGGGAAATGAGGTGGGTGGTGGGTTGGAAAAAGGGGGGTAGGGGTGGTAGCGAAATGCAGGCAAGGCTCAAAGAGCGGGACAGGAAGCCGGTCAAGCACGCGAAGGGGTTGGGGGTAAAAGAAGGGGTGGTATCAGTCAGAAAGGGGGTAGGGGTATGAACAACTGGCGGGGGTGGGGTGCAGATGTGGCAAAGGACACAGGGGATATGAGGGGTGGGTAGAAGATTCTAGGAATGTGGGGTAGGTGATGAGAAGGTTCGAAGGGGGCGATGAGGGGTAGGGGTGGGGTAGATGGTATTTCATATCGGCGGAGACCCAAAGCAGAGAAAATGATGGAGACAGAAAGCACGAGAGAAGACGAAGAGAGCGAGGGGGAGACTGTGAGAGGAAGTGAAGCGATCAATGAGTCAGAGGGAAAGACTGAAGCAATGAGGTGAAGAGAGGAGAACAGTGAGATGATCAGGTCAAAAGATTAGGAGGATGTGGATGAACAATAGGCAGAGTGAGGATGGAGATCTTGGGAGTTGGAGGAAGGTATGGGAAAAGATAGCAAGCAGCATGGTATCTGTGGAATTAGGTGTAAGATGAATGACGGGAACGAGAGCACAGCAAGAGGTGAACATCGAAGAGAGAGAGGAAAATGGGTAGATTCTTTTGAAGAGCACAACAGTGAGTGCGTCAGGATGTAGTGTGGGAGTGAACTACTTCAGATACCAGGTATGATGCAAAAGAGTGTTGTTTCAACCAAAACCAAGTGTGCGAACTGCTGAGATAAGAGATCAGAGAGTTGTAGAGGACAAAATTTTCTAGAAACTCACGTGGTGGGAGCGCAAAAAAAGTAGGGCGAGAGTCGTGAAGAACGATAACCAGGGTGTAGATTGGCAGGAGAAGGAGTAAAACAGCTTAGAATGTGTCTTTTTGTTGTCCGATGAAAATTTAGGTGTCAGTAAGGAGAGCAGATGACTGAAAACCATTCATGGGGAGCACATTCTAATGTATTATGCAATAGTGATTGTTGCGATGCGGAGCGAGTGATGGTTTCGGTCGCAGATACCTTGAATGATGCATGAAAGTTGCCACAAACGACAGGTGAGGGCGACGAGAGCTGGTGTGAAGCTGTCATGTGCTGACATGTCCAGGAGCAGGTTACAGAAGAAGAAGTCTACAGCAGGAGAGCACATTGCACCAAGGGTCTCGGACACAAGATGAGCTTCCAACGCCCACGAGAGTGGACGTCAGTCCCGGAGTACAACGATATCATCGATCGGCTTTTTTCTGTGTGGGACAACTCGCCTTCTGCTCAGGAAGACTGGAAATCTGTGAGTAGAATCAAGTTTGATTCGGCTCCCTGGATACCTTGACGCTCTTCTTTCCCTCATCCCCTTGATACCTCGACGCTCTTCTTTCCCTCCCGTTGCACTTCTGACTGGTCATAGGTGAGAGGAGGAGAATCACATGTGGTGGACATTCAGCCTGATCTGCATGGGCCGGTCAAGATGGCGAGAGGTCAAGGCTTTATCCGCGCTACCCCGCAAGAAGTCTTCCAGGTCCTCCTTCACGTGGAGCGACGGCCGGATTGGGATGATCTTTGTGACTACGGGAGCCAAGTAAGAGAAGGCGGAGTAGGGAGGGATGGAAGAAGCTTGGGAGGGAGGGATGGCAGAAGCTTGGGAGGGAGGGATGGCAGAAGCTTGGGAGGGAGGGACGGGAGAAGCTTGGGAGGGAGGGAGGGATGGCAGAAGCATGGGTCAACTCACTGAAGCTTGGGTCAACTCACTCACTCTTGCTCAGGTTCGCCAGCTTGGGGACAACGCGGACATTGTTTATCTGTCTTATCAAGGAAAGTTGGGAGTGTGCGCGAGAGACCTCTGCCTCCTCAGGTGCGGGAGAGGATGCGCAGAAGGGGATGGGGGGATGGGGGGATGGGGTGGGTGGTGAAGGAGTTGGGGAGTTGGGGAGTGGGCTTGGAGAGAAGTTGCGGTGACTCCACTGGCAGAGGTTGGCTTCAGAACCCTGACGGCAGCGCGATCCTAGTTGCCCATTCGATAGAGTGCGGGGATGTTCCGAAAGTAGCGGGGAAGGTGAGAGCTGGGCAAGAGAACGAGGATGGGATGGGAGACGAGGAGCAGGGAGTGGGAGAGGGGACATGGGTGTTGAAGGAAGGGAACACAACTGACTGTGAGCAGGTGAGAGCAGAGTGTCACGACTGCGCGTACATGATCACGCCGATGGAGGACGGATGTTTGTTCTCGTATGCCATTCAGCTGGACATGAAGGGATACGTTCCTCTCTTCTTCTCGTGAGTCCCAACATATGTTGGTGTGCCAGTCTGACAGCCGAGCAGGAATCTCATTCAAACTCAACACCCTCTTATCATCTCCATGCTCAGAAAAAACCTCGAGGTGAGCTTGCTGTCTATCTTGCCCTGGCTCTTGCTTCATCCTCTTCCTTTGTTTCCTTGGCACTCACATTCAGCTTCAAGGGCGATGGATCGAGGAGCAACCAACTGAACTCTTGAATGTAAATAAAGCAACTGATCTTCGTTGTCGCTTGTAGATCCCGTCAATTGTATTGGTCTCACATGTCCCCGATTCACATGACAGCTGCCTTGCGATCCGGGTTGGCAAGCGATCAGCATACAAGTAGCAAGAGCTCTTCTCCCTGAGCATCTCGTGCAGTTTTGCGTATGTAGGACGTCACTGATACAGTCACATCATGTTCCTGAAACTTGACCGCACCCTTGCAGTTCTAGAACTGTGTAACAGACAGGCAGGCACAGGAGACGGGATCACTTGCACGTGCCTTCAGTTGAAGAACATCCTAGTTTCTGTCGTACCAGCGATGGACGGACAACGTATGCAAGGAGCGCTCTTTCCTCGCTGGCTCGTCCTATCAGGACATCCGTCGGCAGGTCTGCTGGCGCCTGCAGCAACTTGGTTGCTCCATGCGGCGTGACAAGATAAGCATGAGAGCCCCAGTCGCTTTTCTTCACGGCCTCTACACACCCCGACAAGAAGAAGGCGGCTGGTCTTTGGATCCACTTCATCTCCTTCCCGTACACTTCACGTCGCACGTCTTCAAGGCCAGAACTTCCTGCTACATCGGACACGCCCAGCAGCATCAGGTCCCATGGTAGGCAACCAGAGACAGCCGAGTCGTTGCGGCACATGTCTCTTCCTGAATGGCATTCTCGCACGCTGCCGGACCACCAGGAAGAGAGCACGCGTCCTTCTCTCTCCGTGAACTCAGCATCGTCCTCCAGCACCAGACAGACCCCTTGCTCATCTCTGCAGCTTCGCCAGATCATCCGAGCCCCCGCCAAGTTGGCGAGTCGACCCCAAGCAGGTCGCCCTCGACCTCGGAAGAGCTCCTCTCCCAGCTCTCGCTTGATTTCCTGCGGGCTGTCAGCGAGGGACAGCTTCCGGATCTTCACCTCCTCTTGTGAGTAATGGAGCCCCTTGGTCTTGACAGCGATGGCCGCAGGAAGGAAGCAGAGCTGTTGCAACGTACGGAGGCGGCGCGCTTGAAATGCCTCGAAGCGTTGAGGGGCGTGAGGATGAAGACGATGGAGAAAGGCAGAGCTGAAAGAGAAGTCGAATGCTGATCAGCAGGCAGACATATTCGACCTGCCGGCTGTTGGTCGTCTGCCAATACCAAGAGGCTCGTAATTATGAACACAAGCAGAATCATCTGGAACAATCAGAACAAGAAAAAGAATGGTGGCGATTGGGAAAATGAAGAAGATTAAAGGAAATGAGAGGAGAGGAGACGAGATGAGATGAGATGAGATGAGATGAGATGAGAGGAGAGGAGACGAGACGAGATGAGATGAGATGAGATGAGATGAGAGGAGAGGAGAGGAGAGGAGAGGAGACGAGAGGAGACGAGATCAGATGAGACGAGATGAGATGAGAGGAGAGGAGAGGAGATGAGATGAGATGAGATGAGAGGAGAGGAGATGAGATGAGATGAGATGAGATGAGATGAGAGGAGAGGAGAGGAGATGAGATGAGATGAGATGAGAGGAGATGAGATGAGATGAGATGAGACGAGATGAGAGGAGATGAGATGAGATGAGATGAGAGGAGAGGAGATGAGATGAGATGAGAGGAGATGAGATGAGATGAGAGGAGAGGAGATGAGACGAGATGAGACGAGATGAGACGAGATGAGTTGAGATAGCGGGAGATTTATTCCTGTTTATTGACTGATTTAGGTCACCCGGGGCTAGGGGTAGGGGGTAGGGGGTAGGGGGTAGGGGGTAGGGGACGGGTGAAAGGTTGTGAGGTGTCCGAAACCATACGACGATGACGATGAAGAAGATGATGATGGTGATGATGGCGATGGCAGGTGATGGGAGGAGGAGGAGGAGGAGAGGAAGAGAACTATGGTGTGAAGATTGACATGAAGAAGAGGCAAAGGATGACAGGATGAATGAGAGGATGAGGGGGCTATCAGAAAGGAAGACACGTCAGGGAGATTCTGGGAGGCGGGAGGGGTGAAGGGAGGGGAAGAATGAGGAAGGGAAACGCGAGTATGGTAGGGAAGGTCAAGAACGCATGTAGGTCATAAGAATGCGATAAACATGCACGACCTTCAAGATAGGTGACATTCTACTTCGCCTTGGAGCGATATGAAACCATTGAGAGGATTCGGCTTACAGATAGACGAGAGACGACTTTGAACTTGACGACTTTGATTTCATATAGTGTGATGCTCTACATTGGAATCTTTCAATGTTCTTTCCTCCTGAAGTATTTGTCAGTCATCTGCCACACTGCCAACGCCATCTCCGCGACCGCCAACCACATCTTGGTCAAGGAGGAGGCCAAATGCCTGGAGCTGAAGAAGAGCATCGAGTCGGCTTCGGACGTTCTCAGCAAGGTATCCTTGCTCGCTTGGTCCTCTTCAACTGAACGTCTGTTTGCCTTCAGTTCCAAGAAGTCGCCAAGGAGCACAGGTGCGCACTATCAAAGTGCAAGCAACCCTCTCACTCCTTGCAGTACCTGCCCTTCTGGCAAGAACGGAGGGTCGCTGGGTGAGTTTGGGCCGGGTCAGATGGTCAAGGAGTTTAATGATGTTGTTTTCACCACCGGCAAGGTGAGGATCGTCAAGGCCATGCTGGTCGGTGACGGACATGGCAGGTCGGCAAAGTTGAAGGCCCCGTGCAGACTCAGTTTGGTTATCACTTGATCTTGATCACGAAACGAGGCAACGAAGCCATGTAACTTGTCTTATCTTCATCTCCTTTTTCTTCTCGTAAGGCTTGCTGGAGGTCCTGATAGTAAAAGACTCTATTTTACTTGGGCATGAGCTTGCCTCTCCTGTTTGTGTCGCAGACATTCACTAGCTGCTCGGTAAGATTGGGACGGAGAGCCCTGCACGTCGCGTCAGCTTCTTCTCGTCACCTTGCGCCAAGCTCTTTACCTTCCACTGCGACAGCATGCCTTCCGCTCCCTCCAAGTCGTTCTGCTTGATCTGACCAACGGTTGTCACAAGCACTCCCTCCCTCCCTCCCTCCCTCCCTCCCTCCCTCCCTCCCTCCCTCTCTTTCACTCTGCCTCTCCCTCTCTGATCCCTACCAGGATCAGCGCCATGCTTGCCAGCGTATCTGCGTCAGGTACAACACCGTCCTCCTTCATAGCCTTGAATACTTGGTCCGCAGTCGCAAACTGCGAATGCAGCATGGCCATCTCGAGGAGGGCGTTGTTAAGGTAAACTAGGCGTTGCATCAAGAGGGGCTCGTAGAGGTTCTTGCGGTACTTCTCCAAGAAGAGAGGGTAGAAGGTAGAGAACATCTGCACAGAATCAGAGAAAAAGTCTCTCACCCACCTCCCTCTCGCCGCCCCCACCTCCCTGCCTCCCTCTCTCCTCCCTGCCTTCCCGCCCCCCCACCATCAGTGTGTGGTTGAAGTCCCTCCGCCCTGCTGAGAGCATCCAGGTCGCGATGGAGCAGGGCGTCCGCAAGGCCTGCGAGTCTCGTCACGATATAACAAGCGCTGCGTCCTCACTCGCCTCAATGTCTTGAAGCACGCTACACGGGTTTGACAGCATGAACGTTTCGGCGGCTTTCAGGCGAAAGGCGTTGATGGAGGCCTTGCGGATGGCGTCAAAGGAGGGGAGGAGGAGTTGTCGATCCATCTCCGAGACCTGACGGCCACGTCACTCCTGCCTTTGCCCTCTTGTCCCTCACAAAGAGAAGCGCGTGTTGCGCGTTCCCTGCGCTCATGAGGGAGATGAAGTAGACTTCCCGACAGGAGTGCGAGGGCTTGAACCCGTAGGCTCCATACTGCTCCCACATGGCCGTGATCTGTTGCTACCCCGTCAGGCTGGTTGACCGCACGGAGCGACGGACAGACATGTAATTTTTTGACGCTGGTGGCGAGCGAGATGAGAAGTTGCTTGAAAAAAGTCTCGTGCATCTGGTGCACCTCCAACCGTCACTCCCAGGCAGCAACACCAACACCCAGACCTCTTCTGCCTCCCCTTCGCCCTGCCCCTCCACCGAGGGAGGGCTTGACTCCGTCTTGGTCCCGGCTATCACGGAGAGGTAGATCTCCCAGACCGGCAGGATCGCGCGAGCATAGCCTGCCGAGATGGCTGTAGCGAGGATGAGCTCCAAGACATCCCGGCGCATAAAGTAGTCGCGGTGAGGAGTGACGAGTATGACCTTGACGATGAGGTAGAGATAATTCACTGTCAGCTGCTCCACCAGCCCATGTCAACCAGCCGTGACAAGAGGAGATGTGAGGCACCTTGGAGTTGAGAATCTTTAGCTTCAACGACGTGCAGTCAAGACCATGCTTTGCCTTGAAGGCATACAGCTCCATGAGCATGTCAAACCTTGGCGAGCGTCACAACGAGACACCCACGACAATCACTTGGCTCGTCCTCACCTCGAATTGGGGATTGTATTCTCAAGCATTTCGGCAACTTCTGCAGGCAGGGTATTGTGCTTCTCCATCACCGCCTGATACTGGAGCAGCGGCTCGAGCCGACCGGACTGGGACATTCCTCACTTACAGCAGGCAAGGGATCCACCTACCTTGACGGCGCAATTGATGAGGGTCTTGAAAGGCAGCCCATCCATGAGCACGTCTCTCTCATGGTAAAGTATGTACTCCAGCCAGAGCCGAGCTGAGTCGAACATCTTCATCGCCACCATCATGTTCATCGCCGTGTTGTAGTCCGACTCGATCAGCGGACTCTGGTGAAGGAAGCACTCGCGGCGGAGAATCTCCGACAGAGTCTCTATCTGTGCAGGTTTGAAGGATTTGAGCTTGGCCTGACATGCTCACATCATCGCTGGCAAGAAGCGACAAGGAAGAGGCTGACCAGGATGGTGTCTCGTATTGAGTCAAGGATCACCTCTTGTTGGAAGAGCTGCTGCGCTTCATGCACCGAATCGAGGGATTCAGCTTTGATCGTCACGTCCAACACGTGCCCCTGCCTGCCTCTCACCCGTCACATGCACTGCCCAGACTACCATGCTTAGCACACCAATCATTGCCGTTGTCCTCTTGCACTTGCTGGAAGACGATCCTGCAGCGAGACTAAGAGCATGGAGTACAGGTCAGCACAGCCTTACAAAGCCCCTGTTCTCGCGGTGATCCTCTTCAACCGCCATCCCTTACGCCCACAGAATCTCCCGAGTGCCTGCACAGTCACGCGGAAGGAGGACTCAGAAGCTTCTCTCTCCTTCGCACGAACTTTGCTGCGCCTTGGCAGCGAATAGGTGGACGGCAAGGAATGCTGAAGTGAAGCAGAGGCGGTCAAGGGCAGAGGGAAGCAGCCTGTCCAACAGTCACCAAGAAACGGCAATTACATGCGGCGACTCACCTGCTCCACGCAGCATCCATGGCAGAACTCTCCTCGCACAGTTCATGATGGCTCAATACATACACGTGCCTAGCAAGCGATGAGCCATGAAAGAGCAGCAAGAGAGAACGAGAAAGTCTCTAAGGACGAAAGAAAAGATTCAACTGGATGAGGCCTACATCACTTGATCCAAAATGCACGAGCCAGTGATGCAGGACGAGGTGGATGAGGGTCAGTGAGCGAATACAACGAGAGGCAGCACGATGATTATGTCGAATGACAGTGAACATATGAAACAAATCATTTCATATCTTCTCATCATCTGCCATGGGCTACGCTTCGTTTTGTTCCTTGGCCCCGCTCTGGTTTCTCTCTCAACCTCGGCCCCCACACCGAAAGTCTTCTACCAAGCTGTGGACCGCTTGCCACTCCCCTCAGCAACCATAGTATTCTTCGCCTTAATCTCGCCTTCACACTATGAATCCTTTCCCCTTCCTCAATAATTACATAATCAGCATCAACATATCCATCATCACCTCAATCAGCAGGAGCAGGAGCAGGAGCAGGAGCACCACTATCACTACCACCACCACCACCGTCAGCATCAGCATCAGCATCAGCACCAGCACTTGTGCCAGCATCAGCATCAGTATCAGCACCAGCATCAGCACCAGCATCATCATCAGCATCGTCGTCGTCGTCGTCCTCATCATCATCATCTTCTTCTTCTTCATCATCATCTTCTTCGTCGTCACCACCATCTTCATTTTCACCACCACCATCCTTCCCCCCCCCCCCCTCATCTTCCTCTTCCTCCTCCTCCTCCCCATCATCATCCTCCTCCTCCCCATCCTCCTCATCATCATCATCCTCCTCCTCCCCATCCTCCTCCTCCTCCTCCTCCTCATCATCATCCCCATCCTCCTCATCATCATCCTCATCATCATCATCATCATCCCCATCCTCCTCATCATCATCCTCATCATCATCATCATCATCATCATCCTCCTCATCGAGGTGTCTTCGCTACTTCGTGGCATTGCGGCTTATTGTCAGCGGCATGCGAGTTCTCTCTAGCACACAAATCTAGAATCCGAGTGGTCTAGAACAGAATCTAGAACAGAATCTAGAACAGAATTGAGTGACTCGGTGTCACATGTCCGAGCCCGGCCCGGAACTTGAGCCTCAGTTCACTTCCGACTCAGAGCGGCCCCGATGGGCCCGGTGGCAGTTATCGAAGGTAACGGATAGCGGGTAGGCCCTCTCATTGAGGTGCAGTTGTACACAACTGAGGTGGAGGACGAGGAGAGCCGCTTGAAGGAGGAGGAGGAAGAGGAGCCGCTGAGCCTTGGAGGAGGAGGAGCCTTGAAGGAGGAGGAGCCTTGCCCAGTGCCACCGAGGAGGAGGTGGCGCAGGAGGAAGAGGAGCCTGGGAGGAGGAGGTGGAGCAGGGCGGAGAGAATAATCGCTTAAAGAAGCAAGCTTGTAGGGAGGAGATGATGTCGGGAGAGATTTCGGAGACAGATTGGCAGAGACGATTCACGAGAGGGAGGAGGAGCCGTCAAGACTAGGCAGACCCGGCCTCCGCTGCTCTTGGGCTGCTTGTTCGTATCCTTGGCTCCCAGGCCTCTGCCATGAGTCGCAGAACAAGCTTGCCCTCGTCGCAATGGAATGCAGATTACATCAAGCAGGGGAACAAGTTCTGCCCCGTGCCTGAGTGGCAGGTCGTGGAGAGTTTGATGAAGATGCTTGAGGCTCCGGTTGCTCGCAATCGCAAGGACGTGCAGGATGGTCTGATGACGGAGAGGGACGCTGAGAGCGCCAAGGAGCTCGCCAAGGTGACTTCCAAGATCGGAATCCTCTCCATGCTCCCCCTCTACTCCCGCGTGCAGCTCTGCAAGACCATGAACTTGTCCAAGTACCGGAGTGACGCCAGCCCTCTCTTCACGCAGCACGAGTACAGCTCGCTCTACTTCATCTGCCTCGTCGGCTCCATCGAATGTACCTCAGCTGTTCTCGCCATGTCTGCCGCCGGCCTCACGCTCCTGGCAGGCGTTGGACTCATCCATCAGGGCACCGAGCATGAGACGCGCTGGAGCAGGAGGGTGGCGGCTGGCAAAGATCTCTGGGCAGAGCTTGGTGATGCTGCGAGGAGACGTTTAGCTGCATGACTAGCGTGCAGGGCTGGGAGGAGATCATGGCTGCGTCTGCTCGGGCTATCCTCAGCCCATACGCACAGGCTCGGTCCCCGCGACCACTGAGATCGCCAAGAGGTGAAGGAGTGGGAGAAGAGCATGCGGAGGTGATGCTGACTTGCATGGGAGGATGATGAAGCGCGTGTCCGGGTTCTGCTTCGTCCTCTCCATCTCCATGTCAGAGCTTCTTCGACAAATCAACGTCGACCCCTTCTACCTCAAGGCGATCCAGCTGGGCCTGCAGGAGGTGGCAGGCTGCTCGTCGCTCTTGGCGTCACTGACTGCTCGTAGATGGACGTGTTTGCTCACTGGGATGAACGAGACCTCCAGGTGACGCAGCTCGAGAGCTGCCGGTCAGACTCTGACGCGGGCGTGGCAGACGCTCTCCTTTCAGTTCCGTCGGCAGAAATTTCAGAGGGAGGAGGTGATAGTCTGCCGAGGCTCCAAGTCTCGCAGGTTCTACGTGGTCATCCGGGGCAAGGTGGAGCTCTCCTGGCCGCGAGCTGAGGCCCTCACGTACGGTCGCTTCCACCTGGAGCAGGCGATCAAGCAGGTCGTGTCTTCGGGGTCGCCTGACTCCTGCTTCGGCGAGGAGTCCATCTTGTCCGCTGCCTCCTCAGGTTGCGAGTACGACGCTAGGGTGATCACCAACTACGGATGCGAGCTGCTGTGGGCGGAGGCGAGTGAAGTGAAGGAGCTGCTTGCGGGGGAGACGCTTCTGAACCTCGCTGTCTTGTACAAGGCTAGGAAAGAGTCGCTCTCCTCGGGCCAGGCCACCGTCATGGCGGAGATGACGTGTGCTGCTGCGAGCGAGGAGTCAAAGAGTCCTGTGAGAGGGCGGGAGAAGAAGGGCTACTTCCTAAAGTTCGACCCCAAACCAGTGGACCCGGAGACCCCTGAACGAGGGCTGAGCCGATCCCTCGCTGACTTCTCCTCCCCCTCTGATACAGTGAGAGACCTCAAGCCACGCAGCCACGGGCTCTCTCTGACGCAGCGACAGTCAGGTGCCAAGTCGACAGGAGAAGAGATGCTGAGATCGAGCACCAAGCGGATACTCTTCACGAGTTTTGCGAGTGAGGAAGGGGAGGACGAGAGTGCTGGAAGGGGCGAAGGCGGAGACTCACTTCCAGCTCTCATCGACCTGGACCGGATCTACCGCAACAGAGAAACAAACATGCACATGCCCATCGAAGTCAAGGAGTCGAGGCTGACGCTCTACTACGCGTTGAACAAGAAGTTTGTCAGTCAGATGCTGCGAACTCTAGAGAAGAAGCGGAACATCGAGCGAGACTACAACCGCAAGGTCCTTGCACCCTCCGCTCCCAGGTGACGGCCAAAACATCGAGCGAGACTACAACCGCAAGGTCCTTGCACCCTCCGCTCCCAGGTGACGGCCAGACGGTGAAGGCTGGTCGGGGTGCCAGGGCAGGGGCAGGGGCAGAGGCAGGGACAGCAGTCTATCTCTGGGTTCGTGAGCAGCGGCCGATGAGAAGGACTGGAGGACGTGAGGATGTGAAGCTTGAAATGTCAGCAGCACCAGAGCGAGAGGTTCTGACACATGCTGAGGGCACTGAACCTAGCAGGGGCAGTGGCATTGGCAGGGGCAGTGGCAGGGGCAGGGGCAGGGGCAGGGGCAGGGGCAGGGGCAGGGGCAGTGGCAGTGGCAGTGGCAGGGGCAGTGGCAGGGGCAGTGGCAGGGGCAGGGGCATGATAAATCACAGAAACAACAAGGCAAGAAGATCGATCATGTGCGAGTTGAGCACATGCCAGACCTCGGAGGTCAGTCAAAGAGACAGGGAGATCGGGATGTCTCGGTACTCGCAGCTCGAGCTGATGGCAGTAGAGGAGGGTGGGGGACGTGAAGATGTTGATCAACAAGTTTATTGTACTGAATGAATACTCATAGTTGCAAACATTTTCGATGCTCCCAGGCGTTTCTCAGCCCTGGAGTTTATGAGGCGTCGCCTGGCAAGGTGACTTCCTCGGGTGCTGGCGTGAACGTGTCTCCCTGGTACTGTTGGGCCTCACTTGTGGCCGGCACAGTGGCAGGCGCAGGAGCTGAGTCGCTCATGATCGGCGTGCGGCATGTCGGGCAGCGCTTCCACGTGGGCTTGACCGGAGCCTTGCAGTTGACGCACTCGGCAGAGAAACCCATCACATCCTGCTGCGACATGCTCGACACGAACGCCTGCGCTGGCGCCGACTCCACCGTCTCCCCGGGCCTTTGAATCTTCGCTTTACATCCTGGACACCTGGGCCAGCTTAGCTTGACGGGAGCTGAACACTGATGGCAAATGCCGCCGAAGCCTTGCTGCTCCACCAGAGTCTGAGCAGACACAGCCGACACAGAATCAACTCCAGCTGCAGCCTCGCTGATCTCCGGGTGATCGTATCCGAGAGTGGCGACCAGGTCGCGGCCCTCGGGTCGAGGAGCCTGCGCGATGTCCGTGCGACAGTTGGGACAGCGCGGCCAAGTTGACTTGACTGGGTTGTTGCAAGCCGAGCAGTTGATCCAACTCTCCGGGAGCGCAACAGCGGAGGTGTCGAACGTGCTCGCTTGAGGAATGACGCTCGATCGCAGGGCAGAGCTGTCGTAAACGGGTTCGGAAGGCGCCTCTGCTTCGACGTCTGCCTTCTTCTTGCCTGCCTGAGCCTGCTGGAGGCGAGCGTAGTAAGCGAGCACCAGCATACCGATGAAGAAGATCGGAACTATGATGGCAGCTGCAATCACTCCCGCCTTGCTGCCGGACCCGAGCTTCGAGGGAACCACAACAATGTTCGGATCTTTGGTGAACATTGCTGCGTACGTCGAGAAGTGCTGCAAGGTGGCCGAGGCCCTTCCTGTAGCGTCAGGTCCGCTGCCGTCGACCACAACCCATCGCTCAAGGTCGCGATCGAACGTGAACACTTTGAGCACTTCATCTGCCTGGGCCTGCTGGCTCACGCTCAGGCCCAGCACAGCTCCCTTGACGCTGATGCCATCCGGCTGCAGATCTACGACATCTCCTGCGAAGCGAACAACATCGGCGACTTGCATGGCAGGAGGGAGATCCTTGCTGTCGTACAGATCTCCCGAGACCGTTGTTGGTCCGCTAAGAGCGAAGGGAGGTAAGTAGAGGCTCGCGCCACTTGAAAGAGAGAAGGTGTAAGAGATGCTGATGTCGCTGATGTAGAATTCGAAGCTGTCCAAGGGTGTCAAAACAGTCGAGCAGTCAAGCCCAAAGTAATATCGATTGCACATACAGTATCCTGCCTCCGCTTGGCAGCTTCCATGACCAAGGCATGTGTACTGGGCTGAGCAATAACGGCTGCACTTGGCTCCTTCCTTGGGGTTGTAAAAGTTTGCAACGCACGTACACACACTGGGTGTAGAGTTGCTGTTCTTGCAAACGAAGTTCGATTCGATAGTACAAGAACTGCTACAGCCATCTCCGCTCTTCGTGTTTCCGTCGTCACATCCCTCCACGGGGATGTAAATTCCGTCACCACAGTTGCTGACGCACTTGTTGTTGACTTTCACATACCCATATGCACAATCACACCTGTATGACCCTTCGGTGTTGACGCAGACTTCGGATACTCTATTGCAAGTGTCGGACTGATTCTTGCACTCATCAATGTCTCTACAATACCCTGATTCAGAGGCAGAGGCGTTGTACAGCTCGTAACCAGGTGGGCACGTTGGCCAGTCAAGACACATCGAGTTCCCTGTCGTGTTCTTGTACTTGCCATATGGGCATGGCAAGCAATCGGCTCCGGAGGGGTAGGTGCCTGGTCCACAGGATGATCCACAGACCGCCGATCCCGCCACCGAACTTGTTCCGTTGGGACAAGGAGTACATACGGAGTCCCAACTGCCACGATCAGGCTTGAATGTTCCTGCCGCGCATGGGCTGCAAATGCCTACTCCGTCCACGGTGTTGGAGACGCAGCCAGAACGGTACTGTCCAGGTGCGCATGGAGCACAGCAAATTGAGTATGTTCCGGATCCGGGGTCCCTCCAGCAATCAGCACCAGGCTCCACTTGACAGGATGCGGAGCAGCCGTCCAAGGACACAAGGTTGCCATCGTCGCACGTCTCGTTTTGGCTAATCTTCTTGTCTCCGCAGTCCGCAAGCGCAGGGTCTAACGCTGCGAAAAACTCGGTGAGGTGATTACAACGGCAGGTCACAGACGTGTCCGATCTGTCAAAGACTATGCATCCCTGAAACCTGAATTGTTTGGTTGTGGGATCCAAGAAAGCGCATGACAACTTGTTTTTCCACCCAGCAACACCAAGAGCTGTGACGAGTTGAGGGTCTACAGGGATGACAACTGTGAAAGGAGAAGTAAGGTCCGATACTGTTGCTTGAGTGCTTGAGTCTTGAGTAGCAAGCATAAGCGCGACCGAGGATTGGGACAACAAGTCGATGCTAGACACTTTGTTCAAGTTCGAGCGAACTCCTTGAAACATGATGATCTTGTAGACATTGCTAGGCAAAGGGGAGAGAGATTGAGGGACCGTGAAATACCCAGTACCGGCAGCAGCAACTTGCAACGAAGTAGCAACTAGAGGAAAATTTGCCTTGGTTGTGGTCAAGTTGTGCAAGGAATTTCCAGTGAAGGTGTATAGTTCTCCTGCTGCAATCACTTTTGCATATCCTTCGGCTATCGGGAACGTGCTCGCGTGCCTGTCGATGAGAAACTGAATGAGTTGCGACTCGGAGAGCACTACAGGCTCAGAAGAATAAGGGCAGACCGAGAGGGCGCCTGAAATCGATCCCATGAAGATCGCAAAGTTTTGATTCATTGTGGTGCTGAAGGAATCTCTACTCATATCCGTTGAAGATGCAGCCTTTGCCACTGAGACCGCACCATTGAACGTCGTATTTGAGATCAGACAAGGTGTTGGGATAGCACTAGCTCCAGCTTGAATGGTCTCTTCAGCATAGTCTTTTGTCAGGGCCGCATATGTAACAGCATACGAGAGGTTGAGAATGAGATCTTGTCGGTACTTGGCCTCATCCGTTGCCTGCAGTGTTGTACCAGCGATGGTGTTCCCGAGGTTTGACACAAGTTGGTTCACCGTGGACGCGCTCTTGAGCTGGTAAGCATCATTCAAAGCGGTCATTCCGTTCCCTATGTCATCTTGCACCGCAAGCAATCGACGACGACCAGCGCTGCTCGATATAGTGATCATAGTGGATCCAGCATCGGCTGCGGCACCAAGAGAATCCAGAACCTGCGCAATCGTCAACGAGAAAATATGAAAAGCATGAAGTAGTACCTTGGCTGTGACAACGACTTGTCCTCGTGGTAATACCATATCCAGGTAGTTGATTGGTGACGGGCTGAAATCAAGCTTCTTCGCATTGATGGTGACGCCAAACATGAAGCTCAAGGGAAGATCGGCGTCAATCCAGTTAGAGCAAGTAGTTCTGAAGTAGTCCTTGTAGGCGATTCCAGTCGTCTCGCATGTCGTTGACGTTGATACTTTACATGTCTGGCACGTTCCTGAGCTTGGCGGACGATTGACCAGCAGGTTGATGGAAGATGAGCCAACTCGACCTTGATTGTCCGTTACTCTGAGCGTGAACTGATATTCGACCCCAGCAGTGAGGATTGGCGAGCTTGACAGGTCCAAACGCAGCACAAAGTTGATTTTATTGCTTCCGAGGGGAACAAGATTTTGAGACAAGGTGGTGAAGGAAATTCCGTTATTCGCGGTCCAGGAGTACTGACTGATCTGACTAGCAGGCACGTCGATGACACCTCCGAGGTTGATTCTTGCGTCGGGGTTGATTTTACTCAACCCCAACTTTGCATCAAAAGGCATGTCTCTCGTTTGAATGCCAACAGAAGGAATTCTTGTAGAGACCATATACACGTTGACGCTGGATGAGGCAGGAATTTTGCCTGTTTTAGATACAGTGACAGTGAAAATGAAGTAGTTGGACCCTGTCGAGGTCAGTGTGTCTGCAGCAATCGTTAAGATTCGCGCTGTTTCAAGTGTGACTGCATTGCCATCTTTGGTCAGGCAAGGAAGTTGGGTTCCAGAGACCGTCTGCAGAACACAAGTCCATGCAAATTTCAGGAGGGCATCGGTCTTGCGCTCACTGAGGCGCAGATCAGGATCGTACGAACCGGAAGCATCCAGATTCAACTGCGATAGAGTTGAAATCGTGATGGTAGTTCCTGATGCGATCTTTGAAAACAGAGGTGTGGCTTTGACGTTGATGTCTACACTCGCCGAAACTCTTTTAGAGATATCTCCATCCATCGACATAGTCAGCGAGACCTTATACTTTCCAGGCGCCTGCGTGCCTGGTTTGAGGTACATCTGCGATTTATCTGACACTTGAGTGCTAGTTGTGGTGTCCGACAAAACCCACGCGAAGCTAAGGGCACTCTTGGAAGTTTGACAGAGAGAGAACTTGGCTTCTCCTCGCAAGAGGATCGGGTCGTTCACAGAGTATGACGTACTCCCCTCTATCAAAACTGTTGGGATAGGTGAAGCTTGTTTCGTAAGAGTGAAAAACTTCGTATCAGATTGAACTCCAAGAAAGTCTGTGGCTTGAACTGAAATTTTATACTGAAAGTTCGTCTCCAGTAGCGCAGGAGTCCCAGCAGGCATCGAAATTTGGTTTGAAGTCAAGAACAGCAAGATTGAGTTGAGACTGTCGCTGTTGCTGCTGCTCCAGGTGTACTTGAGAGGTCGAGGGGAGGCGATGGAGAAGACAATTCTCAATGCTGAGCATGAGTCAATGACAGCTGGTCCTGTCAGAATTCCTGGACCAGGAACAAGCTGAACTTTGGGTGGTTCTATCCGGAGAGGTTGTGTCAGAGGGACAGAAAACGAGGAAATAAGATTCTCCGACTTCAAGAAATTGTTCTTCAAATTCATAAAGTCGCCAGGCACGATCGTTGCACTTTTACCAAGCTTGATAATCAAACGTTTGGTTGTCTGCCAGACACACGTGTAACCAGATCCAAGCCCTGTGACATCTAGGAATGAACAGTCAGCTGAAAGAGACTTGCCATTGGTCTGCTGGTCGAATTCCACTTCGATAGCATCTCCCGCCGATTGAAAGCGCGCGCTCAAGAGAAGAGGAGCGAAGTAGATGTCATAGGATCCTGTGTAGAAGAGCGACGGGGAGCTCAAGTATGAGACCTTGATTGGGACGCTTGCCTTCCCTTCGATCACTGATAGTTCCGATCTAGTGAAGGTTGGAAGGGAGGCAACAATAACGTCCAATTGCGTGTAGCTTGCACTGGTGTACCAAGAGACCGAGCGAGGTTCCTTCGCTCCAAACTCGACCTTCAAATTGCTCAGCATATCTGTATTTGCAGGATTCACCCCAGGCAGGTACATGTACACAGATCCAACTGCTGGGCCTTGGCAGGTCACAGAGGCTAACGCCCCAGCTTGGGGAGTTCGGCAATATACTATGAGTTGCTGATCGTAAACGAGGACTGAGAAATCAAGTGTGGAGAAAGCAGATACTACAATGTTTCCGGATAGAGTTCCTGTCTTATCGAAAGGCTTCGGTTGTATCTGAAAGACATATGACGACGATGAGGAGAAGACATTAAAAATGTCACTGCCGGAAAAATATGTTCCTTGTATTGACATCTGGAAACTTTGATCTATCACAGCATTTTCAAGTGTGACAGTCAAAATTCCACCGCCGCGGAGTGGCAAGGTACAATCTGTGTCAGATGATCGGATGGGTTCTGATCCGTCGCTACACAAACCTCCAGAAATACAAATTTTGCCTGGTACACATGTGGGACAGTAATCCATGGCAACAAGTGCAGCAGACGGTTGGTAATATTCAAACACCAAGCCACTGATCGCCCTTCTTTGTTCCCTCACGTAGACTTGATCTGCTGTGAACCCCGCTGGTACCTCTCCTCGACCACGAAAGGTAACGGTCAACGAGACGGACCCTGCGCTGTGGGGGGGAACAGACGATGAAATGTAGAGTCCATCCGACCATCTCACAGCATCCAAAACCGCGCACTTCACGTTGTCACAGACCGTACTTCCGAATTGAACTTGCACTTCACTGATGTCTTGAATGGCTGGCGCCTTGGAGATCCATATGCCCACGGCGTTCTGCTGGTCGGATAGACAGATGGAACAAGCTCCTACGGTGCCACCCACAGTAGCCGAAGAGGGAACAACATTGACAAACGTTGGAGGATCGTAGATCTCGAAAGACAAAGTTTCATAGCTTGTCTCCCCCAAGTTGTTTGCTGACAAGATCTTGACCTACGCAAATTAGAATCAGTACTACATCTACGTGAAGAAGTCAAACTCACCTGAACATAGCCAACCTTGAGGCCAAGAGGAACGACTGCAGTCACGTTCGAGATTGTACCAGCTTCGTTGTCAGCTATCTTGGTGACGACGGCGTTTATTCCTGAGAAAGTAACCGTGACAGTTGTTGGCTGTAAGAAAAGATCCCAGAACACCGTGAAAACGACAGAACCCCCGCCGAGCTGGCTTGAATCCACTGGAGTAGGGTGAGCAGGAGTACGGACAACAAGGAAATCGAATGGCATGGGGTCCATGAATGAATCTATGATATACACTGAAGCATTCAGCAACCTTGAAGGTTGGCCAAAGAGTCGCAAGTTGCCAACATTAAACGTAATCACGTCCATGCCCGAACTAGCTGAAGTGGTATGACTGATGGCAGTGACCACTGACTCTCCGAACTGCCCCTGAATTCTCGCAAGACTGTAATCTTTTGTTTGATCCTTGGGGAAGTAACGGATGTAGACGTTGACGGTGATGACGTCAACAACGTTCCCTACCGAGGGCGACACCAGATCGACTTTGGGCGCATTGAGGTCTATAAGCTTCACTGCGAATGAAGCACATTTAGCTGTCGGTCCAGATCCTGCACAAACCCTGAAAGTTGTTGAAAGGGCTGATTCTGAGGTAGGCAGTGTCAAAGAAAACTGTACGTTCGACAAAGGACAACTGGGATCCGCAGAGTCTGTGCTCAAGACGGTTGCCCCTTGCGGTTGTACTGATGTCGTACTAGAGACAGTAGGAGCTAAGGTTCCAAGATAGCAGATTGCAGCTTGAAACGAGGTTGTAGTTCCTTTCCTCATCTCCAAGGGATAGATTGACCTTGCAACAGGTTCTGGGTAGACAGACAGAGTGAAAGGAAACCTTCCAGCCCTGGTGGTAGGAAAGAGACTGTAGCCAACCGATATATTGTAATTTCCCGCTTGTGGTACCGCAGATACTTGAAATGTGCAGAGAGTGGAGGTTGCGTCGGACTTGATAATCGATGTGGCGGTTATCAGTGAGTTTGCTACACCATCAATTGATAAGTACAACTTGCTAAGTGCGTCTTGACTGGTCAAAGGAGCAGGAACGACAGGAATGTTGCCAATTTCAACCTTGAACGACAAGCTCTGCTCGTTGGTGAAGGCTTGCTTCGGGCTGGCAAACAAGATGAGAGCAGGCCCGCTGGAAAAAACCAATAAAGTCAAAAAATCAGAAACGAAACATCAGCCATACCTCAAAGGAGTCTTGTACAAGAATGAAAAGGAAGTGGACTTCGTCAGTCTGCCATAAGCAAAGGAGAGCTGAACATCGGTAGAAGTGGCTCCCATGGGCGCCTGAGGCATCGTGAAGTTCATCTCAACATTCGAATTCAAGCCATCACTGGTCAGGTACTTGAACCCAACGATCTTGGCGTAAGAAGGAAACGATGCTGACCCAACCATAATTGTGACATCTTGCTGTGACAGAGCAGGAAATCCAAATAGAATCGCACGCACACTCGTGCCGCCACTCGTGAGCCCTGTAGTAGGCTCGACAACGGACAGGAATGGTGTGGGAACTTGAGATCGATCCAGACAGAATTGAAGGTTGCAAGTAGCAGAGTCCGCTAGTGCTTGGATTTTGAGCAAGTCAGGGAACTTGGAACCGCAAGCTTCATCGTAGTCGCAAGGGGCCTGGAATTCGAAATCAAAATCAACAATCTTCACCGAGTTTTGGTAGACACTGGCCACAATGCTCCAGAAGATTGAAACAGCTGGAACTGTGACAGAGATTTTGGCCAAGGCGATTGAACTAGCAGAGGTTATGTCAGCACCGTCTGCTGACCAAATGTCGGTATTTTGCACTTGCACTACAGTTCCACCAAAGTTGACAGTGACTGGAAGGTTGTAATTGAATGGTTTGAAATTGCTGATTGTGAGAATAATGTTGGAACCACCCGTGTTGAGCGAAGTCGATTTCGAAATTGAAACCAGTCTAGGAACCGTACAGTCAATCACTCGGAACGCAGCAGTTGCGGTCAAAGAGCCACTCGTGACAACAATATTGTCACTGGAAATAACCTTAATAGCCTCGGTGATTGTCACTTGTAGAATTGTTAACAATGTTGTGTTATCATACTTCGTGACAACAAAGGGAAGGTTCTTTGTGTAGAACACACTGCTGACTGCATTCGGGTCAAGATTCTTCACGTAGACATATTGGACAACATTAGTGCAGGTCGTGCAAGCACAAATCTCAGTGGGAGTTGGAGTTACAATCTGCAATGCAACGGGATTGACAGCAAGTACGCTGAAACCAACTGCCCCGGCAGTTCCAAGTCGTCTTGGATACATCGTGCCTGAAACATTTCCAGCAGAAGGCAAGGGAGGCACAACGAATGACACAATGGTCTCACTACAGACACTTGAGACCAAAGAAATATTTTGGGCTGGTGTGGATCCGAGATATACCAAAATCTCTGAAGAGACTGTCACAACAGGAAAGTTCGATATAACGATGTTGATTGTTTGTCCGCCCGTCGTCTGCACTTGAGTGCTTGAAATAGATTTCAGGAAGACTGAAGCTGTCAAGTAGTTGAACAAAAACTCGACATACTTGCGAGGGAATTGGAATGGTGTCAATTTGACATAATAAACTCCTTGAGAAACTGCAGGTGACAAGTATTGCAAGTCAGTCTGCGATGAATACGAAGAAACCAACTGCACATTGTCACTCAGGACAAAAATGGAGTCGCCGATGTTGATGAGAACGTCCTGCTTCTGATTCAAGACTGGAAAGAGAGAAATCTGCACGGTCACGACGAAACCTCCGCAAATCGTCCCCGAAGTTGGCAGTGCCTTCAAAATTGAAGGAAGCAACTCGTCATAGTATGTCACGGTGTACGATGCCGTCAGACCGGAAGGAAAAGTGATTTCGCCAGTAGCAGTGTCATATTGATTGGAGCTAGGAATCAACAGTCTCACAGTGGCCTGTCCGGTATTGAAGTCTCCTGAAAAGTCCAGGACAGGCACTTCTACACCCATCAGAGTAGCAGAAACTGAGCTGAAGGTCTGGAAGATTTGTTCAATCGTCACAGTGACCGGAGTTGTTGAGTATTTCTTGACGAATGCACCGGATAGATCGCCAACAACCGACGAGACACGCGGGGCGGAAGCGTCGATGTACTGGAACCCGTTGGATCCTGATGCAAGAGCGTACCTGTTTGGAAAGTCCCTGTGTGCAAGAAACACTGTCGCATATCCAGCAACAATTTCTGGCACGCAACAAGGGGTACGAAGCCTGATCTTATAACCTTGGATCAGAGACTTGTCAAGAGTTGGATTCACTTGCGAATACGAGATCAGCTGGCACGAGAGCTCAGTGATAGTCGCGATAATGTCACTCAGTCCATTCTCAATTGCAGCAAACTGATTAATTGTCACTTCGATTTCTGTTTCCGTATTTGTAAATCCTTGAGCTGGTTTCAGAGATGTGATGTCTGGATTCGGAGCCTTGACGTAGGAAAAGGAAGAAGGGAACTCAATTACATCCCCAGTTATGTTAATCTTCAGGGTTGGCTTAACAGTAGAAGGATCCAGTACTGTTGGAATGCGAAGCTTGATTTGACCTGTATACTTATTTGCAGTACTCGACTGAGTGAATGTCGCAGAAGTGGCTGTTGTCATTGTATTGCCGAAATAGATCAAAAAAACACTTGCAGACTGAGATGTGATCGAGCTTGGCAAGTTCTGTACAGTTACTTTCATTGAAACTTTGCCATCTGTAAAGTATGACGTGGGATCAAACGATGAAATGTACATTTTATCATTTGGTAAGATTTGTACAGTGAAGGTAACAGACTTCACAGCCAAAAGAGTGCCATCATTCTTGTATGAGATTACAAATGAAACGTCAAACGACTGGTTGTAGGGGATTGTTGGAGCTGTTAACAGGATATCGAAGTCAGTAAGTTTGGTCGTCGATTGGAGCACCTGCTGGATTGTTGCTGTCAGTCCAGGAACATCCATGGAGGAAACCGTCTTCACGATATCAAAATCGTTTGCTGTGAGCCCTGCCGTGCCAACATTCGAGAGAGACACCATAACTACTTTCGTATCTTGAGTGGTTGCAAAGACAACCTGCGGCGGATCAACGAAATTGAGGGTGGTCCTTAAAGTGTTTGTGACGGAAAAGCTTGCTGAGCCAACCTGTGACTCCCTTCCAATAGCATATACTGAGATGGTAACTTGGGTCGGACTTGTTGCCGAGACATCAGGCGTCAAGAATGAAACGATTGTAGTTTCAAAACTGGAAGAGACTGTCAGCTGCGATGAACTCAATACAACGCTCCCAAAGGAAACTTTCAAGTCACTTGCACCCGAAATTCTCCTGAAGTTTGTCAAGAGGCATGTCACTGGAACATTTCCTGTGTCTTTCCCTTGAGAGGGTTGAACCGTCATGACTGGATCACCTGTTGGAATTGCGACATACTGAATGTTAAAACTGATCGCATCGGCCAGACGGACTATGCTCAATGAAACAACGGCAGAACCCGGAGCAAACGGTGGAGCTTGAAAGGTGACAGTGGAAAGCTGCAGGTTGCTATCATAAGATATGCTGTATGTCTGGACTATCGTTGAAGTCGAGGTAGCAGAGGATGAGGATTGAATTTGAATAGTCAAGTCAGATTTAACGACAGTCGCGTCACCGAAGTTGAGGATAGTGACAGTGATGGAATCTAAACCGTCAGTGTACACGTTTTCTGTTGTCTGACTCTGAATAGCAGGAGGATTTGGATCAACAACAGTGAATGCAAATGAAGCAACCAATGATGGAAGAACGATGTTCGAAATATTGATCGTTCGCAACCCAGGCAGGATGTTTGGCACCGTCAAAGACTGTTGAAATATGTCAGTGATCATCAGCAACTTTACAGCTTATGTACCATCTTTGTTGAAGTGGAATCACTTTTCAGCAGAGTCAAGTCTGACGTTGGCAGTTGTTGAGCGCTCATTGTCACATTCAGCTCTGTGACCGAGTACACCAATTGAAAGTTCTTGAGAGTAACTTGAACTTTGGTATATGGCAGACCTCTTACCGGGATGAAATCAGCTTGCACGTCACCTGTAGGATCAGGAAGATATTGTAATGTTTTGTACAAGTTGTAGGAAGGTTGTCCCAGGTTGATTGTGACGTCAAATAACCCTGTTGTCGTTGCTGAGCGACTTCGGAAGAAGAGAATCGCACTTCCCATCTGGAGTTGGGAAAGTTGCGCAATAGTACTGTTGAAACAATGTCACTCCTTCTTGCTCTACACAGTAAAAATCAAATTGTACCTGTTGATTACTGTGACGTCTTCTTGACTTGCTCCGCTAAGAAAGTTGGAAATAAAATCGGTTCCTAAGAATTGTTCTTGCAGATTTGGGACTAGCCAATCTGAGTACTTCAAGAAACTGACTTTGTTGTCGTCAACTTTCGTGTTGCCTATATTGACTGTAATGGAAATGCTGCCCTCAGGGATCGTGAATCCACATACTATCATTGCACCCCCTTGCAAGCGACTCACAGTCGGACTCATACTGATGAGAAATGGCTTTGCATAATCAACGAAATTCAACTTCAAGGTGCTGGTGACCGATGATTGCTGATTCTGGTAAATGCTGTTGAAAGCTGTCACAGTAATGCTGTACGATCCGGCATCCAAGGTAGTAGGAGTGGAAATTTGAATTTCCACTTGACAGCTGAAGAGGTCTGTGCACTCCGTATACGAAATTACTGTTGCAAGCTCTTGGCCGACAGTGACCTGAAAGCTTCCAGTCTGGGTGGGAAGATTTGATACGCGAAACTTGACGATCGTCGACTTGGTGATGTCGATGCCAATGCTCGCTGCTGTCTGATTTAGAACTTGAATGAAATTATCGGGAAGTTGCAGCTGAGGAACACTGGACAGTCAAAGTCAGGGAAACAACCAATCTCTATCAGAAGAAGATTTACCTCAAGTAGCGGAAACCGTTAGCTAACTCCAATGTTGATGGTACGCTTCCAGTCTGGTAGTTGATAACCAGTTTGACAACGACATACCCAGCAGAGCTTGACGAAGGAGTATTGCCTGCGACTGTCAATTTGTCTGAGTTTTGTGAGAATGAAACCGCAAGGCATTCCACGTTGTTCAAGTACATCTGGACCGAGCTGACAGTTTCCAGCAATCCAATGGCAAGCACCGAAATAGCTGTACCTCCGCTGCTCAACCCGTACCCGGGAACCACGCTGGCGATGTACTGTTTTCTGAAGTTGAAGATCGGATCTGTCGTCAAAGGAAGCCGAGAACCCTGCAGGTAGAAACTGATTATAGCGACTCCTTGAGTAGCCAACAAAGGTGTTCTTGCTGTAATCCTTAGAGTACCCTCGACGTCAGGAGTGATATCGGTTACCGTACCCATACTAGAATTGAAATACACCTGGATTCATGTCATCTCAAAACGTTTACGATTGACCGATACCTGCAATGTACTTGAAGTTGCTTGGAAGAAGTTCAGCAGACCTGCCTTGTATCGAGTTTCACCATCACGAGGCTCCAAAATCGTAAAAGTGATCGTATTAATCTTGTCATTTGAACCTGAGACGGGGTACGAGTACTGTACACTGGCAGCCTGTTTCATCAAATGTCAGCTTCAGCCGCATAAGAATATGTAATCTTTCCTGATACTGAAAAAAGGAGAGTGAGAAGGAAACGATTTTGGTTGGTGAGCCATAGTTTGACCTGATCTCCGCAATTGCTTGACCCTGTTGATACATGGGATAGTATCTGTTCGAAGCGATGGGAAATAGGGGAGGATCAAAAATAAATTGTGTCGTAATATCAACAGCTTCTGGGTCACTCAGAAATGCAGTTGATGTTCTTACAGTCCTTGATGATACAAAGAGCTGAGAAATTACGGACCTTGACCCAAGAGTGACATTTATGGGAAGATAGGTTGTGGAGGGTGCGAGTGGCAAGTTCTCAACCGTTATTGCAATGTTGTTTTGTACGTTTCCATCGATCCAGACATAACTCTGACCATCCCACTGAGCAACACGCAGGGGAAACTTTTGATCAGCAGGGTATGAGATATACGCTCTTAGTTTCCACGCCTTCCTCACGAAACTTTTCAAATCCATAAATCCAATTCCAGCAGAATTTTGAGCTTGAACAAGAATGTAATACACTGTTCCCTCAAGCAGCGTGTTCAGCTCTGGGATCTTGTATGTGCATAAACCATTGCAGTCAGGTGATTTAGAAAATTGCTGGACTGTGCATGTGCTGCCAGAATTTACCTCCGGACAAGTCGAAAGTTTGATACTGTAATCAAGCAAAATGTTTTCGAACACACCTAGCCCATATCCATAGTCTGATGGAGCATTCCAGCTAATCAAAAACCCATCGCTTGCAGCTGTTACACTCATGTCTCTCACAGGCCCTGGTTTGCTCATGGCTCTTACACTCGCAAATTCACTGAAGGGTCCTTCATCGATGTCATTGATCGCCAATAGTCTTCCCCTGACACTCTGACCTGCCATGATTGGCTCTGGAAGGGTGCCTAAAAGCTTATCGGCCCTCGAGTTGCATTCACAGATATGTGCAGCATTCCATATAACGATGGGGAAGATGTCTCCATCTGTGCAATTAACCCAACCTGGTGCTATGTATGGGACTGACCATTGCCCATCCGCACCGTAGCGCACTACTCCCTCACAGTAGCAGATTTGACCTTGATTGGCACATTTCGTGAACGTTCCCCCAACAGCAGTGTTGAAATCGTACGACACAATGCTCTCTGCAGTCGTGATATTGTTTCCATAGTACACCGACGGGTTTGCAAAAATTTGCAACAAATATGCTTTTAAACTCTTTTGCGACGTAGTATCTCCTGTATCACTTGGCCGACTCCAGGTCATTCGCACAGTAAGACTGTTTCTGTTCGAGATGGCTGGAGTAGGAGGCTGTCCTGGTGGACCAGTGAATCGAGTTGCATTGACTCGCGGAGAAGAACCCTTTCCTGCCAAGTTGATTGCCCAAACACTGACTCTGTAAATTGTACCTTTGACCAAACTCCCTTGGAACACGAAACCCTTTGTTCTCGCGGAGATGTTCTTGTGATATAAAGATTGTGTACAAGACATTAAATTGTAATCTATGCTTCCGCTCTGTTGCACAACAACGCCCGAGCAGCTTCCCTCTATCAGAACTTCATACTGTACAACATAGTTCCTCGACCCGCTGATTGCCCATTGTTGAGCTTGTTCAGAATCTTGCCATGCAATGCCCATACTTCGCGAAGGTAAAGATTGCAACGACACATATTCAGGTGGACCCGGTACGACTGGTGATTCTGCGTTTCCGATAATGCCGCATTCTTCAAGGCTGCATTGCTCTTTCTGACAGATCTCTCGGTTCAATTTCAAATAGCTTGGTTTTGTACAGCCTGAACTTGTCAGGCAAGTGTAGTAATTTCGAAGGCAAAAACCTGCACACACAAATGAATTTGTGCCCTGGTTTTGCAAAACTATGCCCTGAGACACAGCTTCTGCTCGGATACCCTCGCATTCTGCGTACTGAGCAGAACATATCTCAGACTTGCGTTGGCAGAAATACTCATTATCTTGAAGTCCGCACGACGCTGCGTCACAACCTTCGTAGGCACAAAGCTGGGCATAAGACTGCATGCTACTCGTGTCGGCACATCCTCCAGTCTCCACGCATTCAACGTATGATTTGGAGCAAGCACAATTCACTTTGAGATAACACATGCCCGTTGCCTCATTATAAATGCACCCTGGCAAGCCTCCAGCCCACGGATTATTGCAAACATCTCTACCTCGCTGTCCCATGTCCAGTTTTGTCAAATAATGGCTGTAACAGACATCGTTGGAGAAGTCTATCGTGCTTTCAAGACAGGATCGCAATTTGCCGACACACTTGAACCCAGTTTGATTGCAACTTGTGTAGGTAGATGGTAATCCACATTCAAGTGCGGTGCAACCAAAATCAGCACACAATTGAGCATGCTTCTGAATCCATGTTGCATCGCTTACACAACCCGCAGTGTTCAAACATTCATATTGATTCTTGGCACAATCGCATTTGTTTGCTCCTGAGAATTCGCATTGGATGTACTGGTTGTTGCATTGCGCCGCTAAGTAACTGCATTTCCTTCCACATACACCACATTCATCGGGGGTGCAACCATTAGTCATGCAAATATCAGACATCTCCTGCAAAAAGCTGTTGGAGAATTCACAACCATAGTGATCAAGACATTGAATCAATTCACTAGTGCAGGTACAATCTCCTTTCATTCTGCGGCATTCCAAATATTTTTGACCACATGTGAGCTTTACCAGTGAACTACAAAAGACATTCTTCACACCCGGCAAAAACCCGCAGTCACTGTCAGGACAACCATCCAAAACGCAATGTTCGTAGAGGAAGGTACGATCAGAATCCTGTAAACAAGTACTATCTTCCAAACAAGAAGAGTATGCACGAGAGCACTCACAACGGTTATGGTCATAGGCAGTATAACCAATCGGTGTATCATAAAGGAACGTATCACGCCGCAATCTGAGAACGACAGTCCTAGATTCCGAAGTGCAGCTTTCAAATGAGATGAATGGAAAGTATTCGAGAGCATCGTTTAGGGTAATGCTGGGTCCCCTTCCGGAAACTGGATCTGAAATAGCGGAGCTAGAAATCCATTGGTTCTCCGTCCCAAACCAAACCTTACCATTGGAACCGTCGATAGCTACCCTGATAGTCACGGTATTTGCACCAGTATTGGCGAAATTAGAATACTGGGCTGATGAAACTTGATTGATATTTGCTAGTCTCTTAATGAATCCAACCTGGGCACACGGCGGCACGAGGACTTCAAAATATATTCTACCCTGCCAGATTGGCTTCAAAATTGTCACTGAGGAATACAGAGACGGGTTGATTGGGATATTGCTTGCAGCAAGTTGATTACCTGGACTTGAAGTGGCCAATTCTACTGTGATATTGCCATAAACATTCTCCGAGCAATGGTAAAAATCCGATGCACAACGCATTGAGGTAGTGTTGCAGGACGCGGTGTTAAGGCCGCACTCCTCTGCGGTACAACCTTCCAGCACACACATGCTTTCGGCGGTATAACCTGAAGCTGACGATGCAACTTTCACGTTACAATTTGCATCTGTCATACATTGCAAAAACGATTTTGTGCATGTGCATGATCCTTGAGATTCTAACATGCATGTAGAGAAAGTTTGTGCACACACAATCGCTGTCGTATTGCAGTCGACCGTGCTGAGACCACACTGCACAGCCGTGCAACCACTTGATCGACACACTTCGCGATGAGCTGACAAATCAGCTGCAGAATTTGCGCACCCCCAGCTCTGCATGCACTGATAGTATTCTCGAGCTCCAGCACACGTGTTGGAGTTTGGTGCACAATACATGCGATCAATATCTAAAATATACAACAAACAATTATTGCAGAGCGCCGAGTTGGAGGAGGCGTAATCAAATTTTGTAGGCGGACGCAAAGGATTATTGAGACATTCAGTCGTGGATAAGTCACACATTCCCTCCACTTTGGCCAACAGGTGTATGCATATCTGGCTGTTCACGCTGTACATAAATGCTGTGCATCCCTGGATTTTGTCACACTCCGCCGCACACTGTTCCGGGGTAGGAAAAACATAAAACTTTGAAGCAGCATTTGTGAAACTCCCGTAGAACGTAAAACCAGGTTGATACCAGTATCCATTTCCCTGCATCAGTGTAAGAATGCAGCACCATCTAAACAGATAAAAAAGATATTGCGTACAGTCTTAGAGTTGTTCACGCATGTCTGAGTCCGACTTGTGTATGTAGGAATGTATCCTTGTTGAGTCTCGATCTGATTAGTCCACCTGTGAGAATCAAAATGAGACTCAGAAATGTGTGGAGGGGCGAGAGGATCAACAGCTGGAAACTACCTTTGGGCACATTGCTTTGCAGCATCGATGCAGGTCAGTGTAGAGTATCGGCACGATGTGCAGGAGTCGTATGCTTGGATGTAGCAACAACCAAAAAGACCTCCGAAGAAAGGGTCTTCACACTGTAATTGGCCGTAGTTGCCTTTTTGTCTGTAGTTCTTGTCGCAGCTGTCGATGTACGAGATAGAGGAGCTTGCATTGCTAACATTGCTGCTTTTGTTCTGACCATAGTCTACACACCATCCGAGAATAGGTTTGATGACAATATCGTTCGTCCGGATTTCGTACGAAGATTTATCCTCCGCCACATCGGAGAGTTGCTGTGCACCTTTGGATGCGTAACCTTGGCACAAGTAGCATGCCAAAACAGCAAACAGAATGAGATGGCGAAATTCCATCTTCAACGATATAGTTTGACTCCTCGAGCACCTACTGCTTGCACCGTCACGGATCACGAACGGGTTGAGAGCATGACAACACTTCGAGCCGGTAGGTACTTCTCAGAGATGCAACTAGAAGATGCGAGCAGGGACAGAGTTGTCGAAGCAGCTCAAGCACATCAACCCACAAGAAGTAGAATCCTGATCTCCACCCTCTCCCTCAGTTCCTCTCTCTCTCTCGCCGCCATTGTCGCCTCCATATCCCTCTGCCGCCTTCGGCTGTCGACCGTGACCCTCTGCGCGGCGTCCTCGAGAACTCACCCAAATGTTTCACACTCCATTCAAATTTGGAGATACCCCTATACCCCTAATTTCAATGTTCTTATTACCCGTACAAAAAAATATTTTCCGAAAACAATTTATAATTACGGATCAATTTGGGGCCCAGTTCTCATGCAGGCCATCTTGCCCTACGTTGACCCTCGGGTACCCTCAAAAGTGACATAACCCTACCCTATCTTGAATCTATCCACCCCTTATTTTCTCTTACATACTACCCCTCTCCGTCCATCCTCCACCCACCCCGGACGGCTCTTTTCAACCTTCGCTCTCCGAACAGTTATCCAACGTTCCTCACAACCACCCACCCGTGGGTTGATCTGATATTTATTTTCCCTACCCCTCACCAAGAGCAAATTATCCTTACTACCCCCGTCTTCTTCTCAATCTTTTCAATCCACCCCTTCGATTCATACGAAAAATTCCCATTCTACCGGGTCATGGAGGCTACTTCATCACCCCTACCGTGAGATTTCCCGGATTGGCCACCCCTACCTTGGTAGTTAAATTTTTGTACCCCCACCTCTATTTCCTCGCTGTCTTGTCAAACTCGTGTGATAACGGATAGTTTTTACTTGTTACCACCCACCCCCCCTCTCCTCAGGCTCGTTGGATAAGGAGTCCGCACTCACTGAGTCACTGAGCCCACCTCGCCTGCTCCACCCTCCTTCCCTTGCCCCCGTCGTTAGGCTCAGTTACCGGGGTAGGGGTCATGGTGAGGCTTCAGGCTTCAAGGTGACTACAGCGCCGGGGTCCGACCCCTTCCGATTCACATGATTTCAGTCAATTCAGCCTCACAGAGTCACCGTCAAGCCTTTCCAAACCCGACCGTCACGCCCAGTCGGAACTTCAAGGCTGCGACGGTCGGCCCGCTGAACGGTCTTGCCTGCGGCAGTTGACTCCTGACCAGTGGCGCTGAGACGGTTGAACCGTTTCTCAGCGCCACTGATTACGGTACGGTACGGCAGTACCGACCGCCGTCGGTAATCATGATCAGCGCGCCGCGGCCTGCCTCAGTTGACAGTGAACCGGGCGGGCCGACTCTGTCAGTACGGTCGGCGGCGGCACCGCGGGCCAGGGGCCGCCCGACTCAGCCTGGCACTGTGGTCGGGCTCGCCGCCTCCGCCCCGGGGACTCGCCGGATCAGTGACTCCCAGTCCGGCTCACAATGACACTGAGTGACTGAAGTTTATTATTGAAGGCGGCTTGCAGTGCCGCGGCGGTGCCGGCCACTCAGACTGTCACGCCGATGATTGAACGGTTGAGGCTCGCACTGATCGCCGCCGACCGGGTGACCGGGTCAAAACTTGTTGTATTCGGATACCCTGAGCTGCCGCAGTGCAAGCCCAGTGGATCGGACCGCGCGACTGATGGCCGGGCGGCCCGGGGACTCGGACCGGGCTGACCAGGGTCCGATCACCGGGCCCGGCCCGCCGGGGTGCCGGACTCGACTCCACCGGGCCAGGCCCGGCCGGCGGACCGGGCCGCCGGGCCTGCCCGGCCGGCGGACTCAGTGGACCGTACTACGGTAGCACTGCCAGTTGGAGTAACTTAGGCCCGTTTCCCGCCGGCTCCCAGATTCTAGATTCCAGATTTTTTCATACAAATATAAGTCAATTTCTTTTTTTCTCCTCCAAATGTTTTGGAGAACTCAACTATAAGTCATTTTAATTTGAGAATGAAACGATGCGGTTGACTTTCCCAGATTTTGCTTTTCGAATGGGTAGGCACTATATGGAAATATACTATTAGCTCAATCGAGAAAAATTGTTAGAATGTAGGGAGGGTACGCTTGGAGCATCAAATATGAACAGGCAGTGGACCCCACCCCCTGTCAGTATACATTGAAAGCACCGGTGAATATTTCGGGGTAAATTTCAAATCACTTTCAATAAAGTCAAAAATCTGGAATCTGGGAGCCGGCGGGAAACGGCCCTTAGTAAACTGCCAGTATGACAGGGACTGTAGGTTAGCAGGATGGCTTGGAGCTCGTTGCTGCGAATCATCAGTGCATCTGCAGTGCATGATCTTTCGTAATGATACCTGCCTGCGCGGAGACTCGTCGGAGGAGAAGAGGAGAGGGTACGGTATAGGAAGAAGTGCATGTAGCAGGGTGGAAGGTAAGGGCCAGGCTCAGATAAAGAGGATTTAGACCAGTGGCGACGTGCATATAAAGGCAAAATAAGGAGCTGCAGAACGTAACCAAATTTCGCTCAGACAGGACAAAAGCAGTGAGAAGATGGTAAGAGTCTTGATCTGAAAAGATATTTGCTGAGACGAGGGAATAGACAAGATTAAAGCTAAGCAGCGTTGAGGCATTTGATTTGAGCGCGTAAGGAGGCGTCGAAGACAATAAGAGAAACAAGAAGGCTAGTGTTCATGGAACGTGCTCAAAGAAAAACGACGTAGTTTGAGCAGAGGATCATGAATGTAGAGCTGCTTCACCCTTGCCTTGGGCAACCGTGTGTTTCTGTGCTGACCGTTACTTGCAAGTGAATCCAGGATCACAGGTATCCCCATGAGCACGACGCCTGCAACCAAACGCGAAGTAGCGGAGAGCAGTTTTGACCTTTTACATCATGCCATCGTCGACAAAATCTCCAGGTAATCCTGCAGAAAGTGTATCATGAACATTGATGGTTCGCGATCAGCTCAAACAGAAATCATCCAGAGAAAGACCTGGAGATGATTGGCTACACCGTGGGCCAAAAGCTGGTTGAACGCTATGTGAAGGAGAAGTGTGTCGCCCACAAGCTTGAACTTGGCTGATCGCCTTCGATAGGCCAATTCTTGAAAATGACCTGGCTGTTATTACCTTCCTTTGCAAGGATTTTTGGACGGAAGTATACGGGAAACAGGTTCTTCTACCTTGAAAGGATACCTTCGAGGGCAAAAGGCATGTTGTGAATCACCTGACAAGGATGTGGCAGATGGACAAATTGAGAACAAATCACAAAGGAGTTTTCGAGCTCCAGGTGCCTATTGCATCACCACCTCTCACTTTGTGAATGTGGACGAGTCTTAGGATCACAGATTCCGCGCGCTCCTGCGTGTATCAGCGGTGAGCGTCTGTTCACCTGACCAGGACAAGGGCGTTCATGCTGATGTGATTTGTTACACGATGTAGGGAAGTCAAGTCAACTTGAGCGAGGCAGCGAAGAAGTGAATGAGAATGGTTGTGACATGAAGGGGATGATTGTCTTGGTTGCTGCAGGTACCTCATTCTGCCCTGTGGAATGATTCGAGGTTCTCTGTCCGCCTTGGGGCTTGAGGCTACAGGTAAGCAGTGATATCTCCTAGGGAGAACTTTGTTTTGATGAGGGGAGACAGTTAAAGCAGAGTCGTCGTCGCTTCCAGGTGTAATTTTTGTTGTACATGTGCATGAGTCTTCAAGGTAAGATGTTCCCTTTCCATCATTCATCTGCCACACGAGAGTTTATTTCCTTTCTAAAATGGATGTGAAAGGAGGGCGAAGTGATGGGATCAAATCTGGATTATTTTTTCTTGGCTGTCACAGTGCTACATCTTGACAAGTGTTGTCACGCAAGAAGATGAAAGTTACAAAATCACAGTTTAAAAAATCTAACACAATGGAGAATTCGTCTGCGTTTACAACAAGAGAAGCTGGTTCGCTCACTGGTATCGAACGAACCTCATTCTCAGTGTTGCTCTGGTCCTCATATCATTCTTGATGCCTCAAACATAGCACTGGTCTTCTTCCGCTATCCAACTCACATCTGTTGTAGTCAGTCACTCTCCCCGTTCGCACATCAGCACAGCTCCCTCACCCTAAATATCCACCTGCACCTGGTTCATGATTGTATGGGAATCGAAGCAGTGAACAGGATCGTGATCAGGGTAACCAGCAGCACGCCAGAAAGCGCCTGGGGCACATCCATCACTCTACAGCATGTCATCACATCAGACATTGCACCAGCGGCCCGTAAGGCTCGTCGACATACGCAGCATATGCTCCGGGCTCAATGGAACGAATGTTTCTCCTCCTCCAGAAGAACGTGTACACTGCAAGCGATCAACCAGCAAATTCGTCAAGACTCCGCTTAACCCCAGAATCAGAGATGCATCTTACTTGCATAGAGAGAGAAGACAATCGAGCAGAGCACGAGAACAGTAGAAACTACAAGCATGGACGATCGATGCGCTCCCGGGGCATCTCGTCCACTGACAGCTGAGATCAAGGATGACACCGACCCCAGGGTAACACCCCTGCCACTCCCTGTCAAGACGAGCCCGACACCCTCCCATCCCATCAAACTTACATGTGCAGCCAGTGAATGTAATTTCGCTCGTTCGCAAAGAAGTCCTTGTGCAGTCGCATGGCGGGCGGCAGGGAACTGTCCGACATCTGCCGAGCAAGCTCACCCACGACTCACCCACGACCTTGATCGAGTTTGAATGGGAGCAGCAAGAAAAGGAGACGAGAGAAGGTCACCGAATGTAGACAGACACTTGTAGCATTGCAACGATGCTAATTCAATGAAATCCTTTCTCAACTCTGCACTACTCTGGTCTGCAACCCTCACATTCACATGCGCCTGTCTGCAATGTTCTGTCTGTCTCTCTTGCTTGAGAGCAAAGGTGAGTAATAGTGTACGGCATGTCAAGACGATGCTCATCCGATTTGGCCGCACCCTCTTTGGTTTCCGAACGCGCGTTTGTCTGCTCTTTCTAATGTCATCCAGCCCCAACCTATTCGACAATCCTCTCCTCCTCCTCACCTGTCTCCCTCCGAACCCGCCCGCCCCCTACGCCCCCTTGCCTCATGTCTCTCCCCTCGTCTTTATCCTGCATTCTCTAGCATTTCAGGTCGCCTGCTGCCTCTCCTCGTCTCTTGCTCCTCCGCATTCCCTCCCTTTCCCTCCCATTCTGCCATCTTGCTCTGCCTCGATAGCATAGGGGACTCAAAGGGGTGGGGGTTGCAAGTGAACGGGTAGTATCTATAGCCAAAGGGGTACAATCATCAGAAATTTTGGGGGTGGGGTATCAAATCCCCTGCTAGATAGTAGGGGGTGTACTGCCATATAAATTTCGACTCTATTGTAATATTATACTGTAAATTTCAATTTGAAAGACACATATCGAAAAGAATTTGAGGGTGGACTTGCACAACGCCCGCTCGTGTAAGCCATTTATTGGTTAAATGTCTAATCAAAATAAGACATAAAATGTTAAAATAACATATTAACAGACTAAAGCAACACTACGCCCCTTGGATGGCGCGGCGCCGCCCGGCACCGTAACTGGAGTTAAAAAGTTCGACGGATTTCTGCCTTTTCTCTTTGAAGTTTGACAATGATCTGCCGGGCGGCCGGCGGCGCCGGGCGGCACTGAGCCGGCCCCTCGGTCACCTCACGGTTGCGCTCAGCTTGTATAGGCTTGCGGATCGCTCGGCAAACAAGGGAACGGCCGGGCCGCGGGCTGCGGCTGGACGCCGGGCCCTGAGCCGCCGGCAGTGGGCCGCCGCCGCGCCGCGGGCGACCGTCGGACGGTCACGCGGGCCGCCCCGTGATGGTTTGAGTAAAACTTCCGGGAGCTCACTGAGACTCTGAGAGGCGGAACCTCACGGAGTCCCGAGTCGCCGGGCCTTCGGCGGCGAGCTGGAGTCAGTTCCGGCGGGCCATGAGCCTGTGAGTCTAGGCTGAGCGCCGGTCAACGGTGCAAGTGCCCAGAGAGTTTATTTAGTCAAGTGTAGCTTGGGTGGTAGCTTGGCGATCGATTCTTTCATCCCCCGCCTACACGATGCAAGTCAACGACCGTGGACGAGAGTTGCTGACAAACGTCACTGACCATGGATCCATGAAGGGCCGTCGCTCTCTCGCCATGAATGAAGCTAGAAATTCCTCCTTCTCTCTCGTCATCTTGCCCTTGAAGTAAGCTCGCCAGCCGACGTGCCTCGAGCACCCCTCTCCCCTCTTCTCCTGCACCATGCTTGCCGTCGGTGTGACGACGCACAATCTTTCACTCCCATCCACGTCCTTCTCGATCCACATCGGAGCCTCGAACTTCTCCTTGAGGATATTTACGCACGTCTGAGGACAGGCCTACATCACAAGCAGCTGCAGCTTTCAGTAGTCACCTTAAACTGCTCGATGTTGAGCGTGCTCTTGTCCCCGGAGCTCGTTTCTGTTCTTCTCGATGCCAACTTGAACGCCATGGCGGCTGCTGACTTGCTGAGCCTCTCAGCCTGCTGATCCTGATGGCTCAGCACTGCCAGCGTCCCCAGCCCTCCGAGCTTCTTCTGCACCTGCTCGTCCTGCGACAGCCAGAACTCTTCAGGGGGCAGGAGGCCACCAGTGTTTCTGAGGAGCGCAAAGAAGGAGACTAGGCTCATGCCCTCATGGGATGAGTTCAACCTGTTGGGCTCCGCGAAGTGTCTGCCTTCCGCAAAATACTTGAAATGGTCTTGGAGGGGGAATCGGAGCACGTAGGTAGCTCCCATGCTCAACCTCTCGCGGTTTCCAGCTTCGTCCACTTGAAACTTCCGGTGCGGGAGCGACGCAGGGAGCGGGTTGAGCATGTCGTGGCTGCGGTGGGAGGGCTCTTGGGGGACAACATGGAAGATCCGCTCCTCGGCCCCACCTGGTTTGAACGAGAGCTTCGTCACACCCTTGACGACCTGATGCCCGAGCAGGGAGGGGGGAGCGCTCTCCGGTCGTCTGAGGAAGTGATGCAGGTCCTCGTGCTGCATGCTGTTCGGCCTCATCAGACAGCGGATACACAGGAGGCATGAGACTTGCCTCCTCGCCTTCTCGTCGCTATCGACGGAGCTCTCGCTCGTCTCAGGTGACTTGGCAGCGTCTGCTTAGCAGCTCAACAAGATGCGGTGAAGGAGGAGGATGATTCAGAACAGAGAAGAAAAGAGGAGACACCTTTCTTGTGCTGCCCTGATGACAGGCGACTCCTAGAGCATCTGACATGCTGGTCACTCCTCGCTCAGGGACGCAGGTTAGCTCACAGTTTGAGCTTGCGCGAGGCCGTGTATGAGGTCGATTTAGACAGGAAAGGAATGTAGTCGGACGATGCTTCAGGACCAAGGGGGTACCCCTCTGCCGATCGACAACGTCGGAAGAGATCAACGACAGAGCCAGGTCGCTTCCTAGCGTTCTCAATGTCTCGCTTGACCTCCAAGATCTTCTGCTCAATCATCTCAAGCTCGCTACGTGGAGGCGCGAGCTTCAACACAATCAGGGCATGTCAGGTCAGCACACAACCACCTTGTCTTTGTCCAGCATTAGGGCCTCGCTAGGATCCCACGACACTTCCTCCGCATCCTTTTGCATCGACCAAGGTTCACCGTTGAGGATCTTGAGTTGGCGTTGAAGCCGGTGCAACGTCTGCCTCAGCCTGTTGCATGTTTCAGCACCTCGCGATGTCAGGGGTGAAAACCCTCTCGTTCATCGAGTTTTCGTCACTGCCTTGCTCTCTGTCACTTGCTTGCTCTCTCCATCTCGTTTCCGTCTCCTCTCTCAAGCTCAGACTTTCGCTCGCTCGCTCGCTCCCTCGCTCCCTCTCGCTTCACCTCTCTATGTTTGTTGCCGGCGGACGATATTTCATCGCCATGTCTTGTGACTATCAAGTACCCCACTCCTTCTACGAGGTCACTTCATTCACCCCACCCCCCTTTTCAGGTTTTTACTACCCCGTAATTATATATAGAGAACGAGCAACTTCACTACCCCACCCTAAGAGGTTCGATCAAACGGCTGTCAAGCCAGTAAAATGAAACTGGAAGATGCGACGGAGGGGAAGGAGATGGAGTGCGAGAGGAAGCGGATGGGGAACAGGGAGGGAGCGAAGGAGGAGGAGAAGGAGACTCAGAGGAGGAGCAAGTGGGCAGATTAGCAATGGATGGGATGGCGCTAGGCCATTCAGATAGCAACAAAAAGTCATGGAGGGTTGACGAGAACTAGTAGCTACAAGAGCGGAAATGGAAGAAGACTGGAAGAGGTATCAGAGGACGAGAACTGTTGAACTAGATGGTACGGATATTGAGGAATGCAAACCCAACTGATCATGTGCGTGAAAGATCCTCTTCTGGTTATCAAATCTCTTGCATTCAGTGTGAAATGTGATCCTAAACCGACCTGAATCGTTCGCAGCAAACCACCGACATGACAGCTGTGTGATTGTAGCGAAGTCTCCAGCATGCTGGAAGGGAGCAAAGAGAGTGGAGAAGAGCTGTTGGAGGACGAGGGCCTGCATGATTGGAGGAGCTTCTCGGACTCCCAGGGGTTTGACATCCTCAGAGTCGATAGTAGTGCTCATGGTGAGGAGGTCGAGGAGGTCGAGGAATGGAAGCAGCAGCAGCAGCATCATCATCATCATCATCATCATCAGCAGCAGCAAGAGCAGGAGGCAAGCGCTGTGGTTCGAAGACCACAAGAGCGACCGAGGAAGCATCTCCGGCAAGTGCGAATGCAGCAAGTCTCCTTGTCTCCTCGCGGAGTTCAGCACATCCGGCGGGGCAACGTGCATGCGCGAGGACGAGGAAGGCTGGGAACGAAGGCTGGTCAAAGGTCAGCGAGGACAGCAGGGCTTGAAGAGGTAGAGCGTCGCTTCGGAGCTGACGATCGACGGTCCCTCCCTCCCCCTACCTTGCTGTTGGTGATGTAGCAGTGTCAGATGCTCGAGGAGAGAGGTCGAGATTGTCGACCTGCTCGGCTCTTGCCTGAGCTCCTGCTTGACTCCTGCTGGACCTGCAGCGCTGCCAACCATCAGGTCAGACACGAGAGGGAGGGGAAGGGAAGGGCATGATGATGATGATGATGATGATGATGATGATGATGATGATGATGATGATGATGATGATGAGTGGAGGTGTGATGCCGATATGACACTGATGATGACGCTGATGATGGAGATGATGATCATGATGATGGGAGATGATGATGATGATGATGGAGATGATGATGATGATGGAAATGATGATGATGGAAATGATGATGATGCCAATGATGATGATGGAAATGATGATGACGATGATGATGATGATGATGATGATGATGATGATGATGATGATGATGATGATGAACAGGAGGAGGAGGAGGTGGAGGAGGAGGAGGAGGAGGTGGTGGTGGTGGTGGTGGTGGTGGAGGAGGAGGTGGTGGAGAATTGGGCATGCAGAGCATTAGAAGTTTTACGGCAAGGGAGAGAGTTGTTGACGGGTTGGGGGAGGTAGCGGGAGTGAAGAGGAGAATCGAGACAGTGATGTTGGATAAGCCCCAGGCTTGGTGTCATTCTCTCGAGCAAGAGCACAAGTCTGCACAAGATGGGGAAGGGTACTCCTCGCATGGAGGCGCGTCAGTCAGACAGGAACGTGCCTCCTCTTGATTGGGTCTGACCTCCTGCTCATTGCTGTGCCACTTGCTGACCAGGATGGCGGCAAAGGTGCGCAGCAGCTGCCTGAACGCCATCTATGAGTTTGAGAGGGAAGGAGGAGGAGGGTTGCGGAGCGGGAGGTACGTCACGAAGCAGGTTGAGGAGCAGATGCGAGCCATCACGCGGAGGAAGACGCCTCCCCCAGGCGTGAAGGACAAGGTAGAGGTGGAGGGGACCGAGGAGGAGACGATGACGCTAAAGCAGCGGCTGAGCGCGATGACGGGGGTACCATGGGAGCTGATGAAGATGAAGAACACCAGCAGCAGCAAGGCAGGACGCGAGGGAAGGCAATTTTCATCAGAAAATTTATGAAATGAAGATACGAGGAGAGGTGGGCTAGGGTGAAACATCTACGTCCGAGGAGGCAGTCCATGCGGACAAGCACTCTTACTTGCTAGGTCATGTCAATAGCTTACACGAGACGTCAAGCTCAGATCATGCTCTTCGCCTGCTCCACGATCAATTGCTCCTCCTCCTCCTCCTCCTCCTCCTCTCACCTTCGCTAGGATGGAGTCCGCATCATATCCCTGGTGGTACGCATGCTCCCACAATCCACCGCAGCCCTGTCAGTCAAGTCACTAACATCTTCCAACGAGGGGACCAAGGTAGGGGGAGGGAGAGGCAGCGTTGGGGGAGGTACGAGAGGCAAGAGAGGTCGAGCACGGGAGGAGGGAGAAGAGGGAGGGAGGAGGGAAACGTCACCTCGCGAGTGGAGCCGATGTAGCCGTACTTGGGCGAGAGGCCTCGCTCGAGCAACCAGGTGCCGAAGCGAACGCCAAGGCCAGTCTTGCGGTTGAGAGGCTCGACGACGAGGACGAAGCCGGTCTTTCCGATGAGCTGCATGCACTCGTCGTCCACCACGTTGAGCGTGCACTTGTTGATCAGACCCACGTCCACTCCCTCCGCCCTCAGACGCTCCACCGCGTCCAAGCTGCGGTACAGCGAGTCACCGTACGACACGATGTATCCCTTGGTTCCCTTGCGGATCACGTCATCCTTGCCGGGCACGAACGTGTAGCCCTCTCCAAACATCTCCTTGCCCTGCTCGTCCTGGATCGCCGGCAGCTTGGAGCGAGTGGTGAAGATGCAGCGGATGCCATGATCCCAGAACACAGCCGGAACCACCTTGAGCAGCTGGTGGTAGTCAGCTGGGAAGTAGAGCCTGGTGGTCTCGTGCTCGTCGAGCCCGTTGTCCGCAAAGAAGTTGTTGAGGCCGTAGTGGCAGGAGTTGTCCGCCATGTCGTCGACGCCGCTGTGCGAGAAGTGGCAGAGGACGTTGGAGTGGTTGAGCCTCGCCATGGTCATCTCCGACACGCACATCTCGAGGAAGGCAGCGAACGTCGAGAAGATCGCCTGCTTGCTCTTGTCCATGCCGAACCCGGCGGCGGCCTGGAAGTTTCCGCGCTCCATGATGCCCGACTGGACGAAAATGTCGGGGAACTGCTGGTGGATCACCTTGAGCCCCGTCGAGCCCTCCAGGTCCGAGTCGATGCACATCACTTTCTGCTTCCTCTCCTCTGGCGACATCGCCGCAAGGATCTTGCACACCTGAGCCCTTTCGTCACTACCTCCGCTCCTCCTCCTCCTCCTCCTCCTCCTCCTCTCACCGCATTTCCAAACTCCGCGCGGTTGGCCCCTACGGACGATCCCTGAGTTCCCATGTAGGTCCCGGCCCTGGGGTCCTTCTCGGCCTTGGTGGCAGGGCCCTGGAGCCACTGGACCGCCTCCTTGTAGCCCTTCTTCTCGAGGTACGTGATGGCCTTGGCGACGGCGATGGCGTCATGCCCGTGGCAGGTTCCCTCCACTCCCTCCACGCCAGGGCACATCTTGCGCTTGGCCACGACGGCGACGGGCCCATCCTTGAGTACCGCAGCTCTCATCGCCTTGTACAGCGCGTCCAGGTCCTCCCCGTCACAGACAGCGCAGGTCATGCCATGGCCCTCCAGCGTCTTCTCCACGTTGTAGCCCTTGAGGTAGTCCTGCGGATGTCCGGCGATCGTCACGTTGTTGTCGTCGACGATGAGCTGCCGGTCTAGTCAGTCTCGTCTCCGCACCCCCGGGGCCTCACCTTGACGTTGATGTCCCTTGCTGCCGCCAACCTCGCTGCCTCAGCGTCGTTGCCCTCCTGCTGCGCTCCGTCCGACGCCAGGCACCACACGATCTTGTCGGGGTTCGCCATGCCAACTCCGTTGACCATGGGCCACATCTGCCCAAGCCTTCCCGAGCTGAACTTGACGCCGGGGGTGCAGTGAAGCTCTGGATGGCCGGGGAGACCCGCGTGACCGACGCGGTACTTCTTGAGGTGAGCAAAGGTGACATGCCCGTCGAGCGCTGAGAGCAGATACTGCGTGGCGACGCGATGACCGGCCTCATCGAAGTAGATGGGGACGAACTTGTCCGGCCTGTTGGGAATAACTGACGTGTCAGAACTTCACCGGGATCTGGAAGGATGCGGGAGGGAGGGAAGGATGCCAGAGGTCGGGTGCGGCGACTTGCCTGGCATTGAAGAAGGACCGCAGGAGCATAACTTCGGGCATGGTGTCAAACGCTCCTCCCGTGTGGCCTCCGTACCCTGAAGCGGACCCGCAGGCAGTGAAGAAGATGACAGCGTCGCGGCAGAGCTCGATGTTGGCGAGGATGTCAGCCTTGATATCTGCTGGGATGCTCTCGTGCTGCCAAGGGTCGAGCTTGACCTCCTTGAACTTGCTCATGTCAATTTCGAAGCCTTCAGTCATCTTGTCGGTTCTGGACCAGCTCTCACTCAGCAACTTCCTCTCTCCCCACAACCTTGAGGTACCTTGCGATGGGGGGGGGATCAACAAGATGTCTCTAGTAGGCAAGAGGTCTCGGAGCCTGCAGACATCATGAGAATCGGCAAATTGGTCTCAGAAGCACTTCAAGACAAGGAGGTTGAGACTGGTACACACTACGCCTCCTTCACCTCCCATCCATACTTGCTTACATCATCCTTCATCCTCTCACCGGGCACTACCAGGTCAACGAGCTTCCTTGTCATCCTCCTTCCATTAATCTCCATTCAGTCGCCTCCTCATCACTCTCCTTCGAGATCACGCTCCTCCCTGCCTCCCAACTGACTCGACTACGTATGTAAACCGCAATCGTATCCCCCTTGTTGTATGCTCCTGTCCCAACCAACTGCCATCCTGTCTCAGATCTAACAGTGTATCTAGACACGTTCTACCTTTCCAAACACCCGTGAGATCAATCCTCACCGTGCCTTAATCATGAACACATCGAGAATATGAAAGGAGATGGTAGTCCACGATTCTCTTCAGACTCTCTCCAGGACCTTCTCAGGTTATCCATGGCTGTTATCTCCATCCTAATGCTCATCTACAATCACTTTCGTCTTTCTCTTCTTTGCATTTCCTACTCTGACTTTATCTATCAATCCACTCAATCTCTCCCGCACACGCCTTCCACATTCCCAATGTCTTTTGATTCTTCGTTCCACGTCTCTGATGTCTTCTCTTCTGATTCTCTTGGAAGGCGAATCTCAACTGCAATCCTCCGCTATATTCTACCTTCCCTCTCCCTCTCCCTCTCCCTCTCCTCCTCCTCCTCCTCCTCCTCCTCCTCCTCTTCCACTCTCATCGCATTTCTCTTTTTTGCATCATCGCACTGCACTCGTGCGACCCCTACGGGTGCCAACCCTACCCCTTGTGTTCACATACCCACACTGTTGACATCAGACCCCCCCACATTTATGTCCATTATGATTTCCATAGGAAATGGCTCATTTTGTACGCTGCAAAGGACCGGTGTATTTCCATATGTCAGGGATATACCCCTGAAATCATAAGATGACCCCTGTGTTCATACACCCCTACCCCGTTCTACATGTCTCTCTTTTCATAGGAGGCCGAGAGAAGAGGTGTTAGCAAGCTAGGGTAGGGGTATTAAAGTACCGGTACTTATACATAAATATTGACCACAGAATACCGGGTACACCAAATTTTCAGGGGGTACCATGCCCCGAGTGGTAGCAAGGGAAATGACCCTGTGGAGGCGTATAGGGCCCAGGGATGGTAGGGGTTGGAAAGATGGAAAAAGAAGGGTAGGGGGTAGGAAGTAAAGGGGCATGGAGTACCACGGGTGGTGTATATCTGACATGAAAAGGGGGTGGGTGTACACAGTCAGGAATGATTTGTTTGTAGGTGTGAGTACCTGCAAGAAGTACGTTATAGTCAAAGGGTAGGGTAAAAGGTAGTTCATGGACGGGTAGGGGCGACCCAGAAACACGTGTAAGTGGGGTGGGTTCCAATTTTCTGAGGGTAGGGTTATTTTCATGGGGTGGGTCTCCGGAAATAGAGACATGAGGGTAGTCACTCGGAGACTCCCGAGCCGGCCCGGGCCCGGAGCCGTCAACTTAGTTAAGTAAAAGGTTTAGTTACTCCACAAAAGTTTTCACTCCTTGCAAACTTGAGATTGGAATTGGTATGGAGGAGGAGGAGGAGGAGGAGGAGGAGGAGGAGGAGGAGGAGGAGGAGGAGGAGGAGGAGGAGGAGGAGGAGGAGGATACAAACTGAGGGGAAGGAGAACCTCTTCATGCACAGAGGGTTCGTCTCTTACGTCGCAACCGCAGGTTTAATGACTTAGCGCAACGTGGTAGACCGACCATGAGCGCAAGGACAACGCTCTGTGCCTTCTGCACCCTCCTGTTTGTGGTCATACACTACTACCCTGTCCTGTGCAGTCATGGTAAAAGCTTCATGGACACTGCTAATGTCTGACTTGGCGTTGTAGAGGGTCAAGAACCATACGTGCATATCATCCGACCTCGTATGCCTGCCTGCCTCCCCCTGCCTGCCTGCCTGCCTGCCCTGCCTCCCTCCCTGCCTCCCTCCCTTTCCCTTCCCGTCTCTCTTTCTCTATCTCCATCTCCCTCTTCCCCTTCGTTTCTCGTCACCCCCCTTCTTCTCCATCTCTTCATCTGCCTCTTTCCTCGTCTCTTTCCTTCTACCTCCATCCTCCTTCCCTTCTGCCGACCCCTGAGGTCTGTTGGCAGAGGGCGACATCTGCATGCTCGAGGAGGACGGGGGCCTCCTCGTGGAGATTCAAATCTTCAGGTGGTATGAAGGCAGACTGCGGGTCCGAGTCAACGGAACGTCCTTGGCGGATATGACAGAAGGACACCTGCATGGTGAGGAGGGGAGGAGGGGAGGGGAGGAGGGGAGGGGAGGAGGAGGAGGAGGAGGAGAGGGGAGAGCAAGGGAGAAGAAGAGAAGGGGAGGGAGAGAGTACGGGACAAGAAGAGAAGGGGAGGAGGGGAGGAGGAGAGGAGCTGAAGTCTCCGGGATCAGGAGGTGACGAGGAGGGGAT